ATCTAATTTCCGAATATGAAAACAAAATACTAAGAGAGAACAATGAAAAAACAATTAGCTGTCCTAGTTAATCCAAATTACGAACCATTCATTTTTAACAATTTACTCATTCACCGTTAGGACTCATCCATCACCTCTCGATCCTGCATATATCACGATACCACATATTCACAGGGTACCTACAAAACACCCCAGGACATCAAAATTTCAAAATTCATGAAATGAAGTGGGAGGGAGATGAACTCAGAAAACAAACTCAATATGTAAACGAAAGATAAAACAAAGGGAGATGCTTAACTAATTCAGAGTTGATGAGGGCCTCTAGAAAAGAGGGAGAAAGTTAACAGGCATTTACCAGAGTTCTTGAAGACCGGAACAACAGAGGATTTCAAAGCGGAAAAGCAAGAAGCAGTGAAGCACTTATTGCACAGTTGAGAGAGAACAAGAGCTATTTTAAGAGCACATTTCTTAAAGACTCTGGGATAAGGTCCACGTTTTGAGGGAATCTAGAGATGCCAGCAGAATCCATACATTGAGTTATATGCTTATCATTTAATAGGGACCCAATTCTAAGTGGAAAATCAGGCAAAGATACTCTTGATATTGCTCGGCCCGGGGGCTATGATCAAAGTGTAGTATGCTGCCTTTGTGAGTTTCCGAGTCGGCGTCTGTCGAACTCTCTGCATTAGCAGAGAGGAACCCGGACGAAGCTTTGCCGAAGGCCAAGGTCTCGTTCGGGGAGGTAGACAGGGCCTGGATCCGTCTAGGCGGGTTCAAAAAGGCCATATTTTTGGCCAAGCCTACGGGCTCGGGGATACCCACACTAAACCGGCCTTGTGCCACATTCTATCCTCGTGGGTGGATTGATAAATACTAAGAGTAGAATTTAAGGAAACTTTACAAGTTAAACATTTGTCAATAAGCATTGTAATGTATTTACTATTTATAGAGGATGTTTTGTTCATCGTTTGTTTATAGGGTGCTTCAGTTATTTCTACATATATTTTTCTTCATTATCTGCTAATTTAACAGTGGCTTGGTATATTACATTATTTTATAAGTAATTGCCATTTAAGGTGCATTTCTTCTTTACTCTGCAGTTACAGGTAAGTTCAGTTTGTTGGTTATTTTTTTGGTTATGGTTTTTTATTATGTCCTGTTCTTGCTGCAACCGTAGCTGATTTTTACCGTTTCTCTTGGATACTTTGTGAAGAATGCTAAGTGGCATGTCCGTGGAGTGTTTATGTACGAGTGTAATGAGCATTTTTCCTACATTTTTGTTGAATGGTGACTTAAACCACATGACGTTTCTTTTCTTGTTAGCTTTTTTTGTGTGCCGTGTGGTGCGTATGTGAAAGTTACCAAAAAATCCAGTTTCATAATCTTTTTTTTTTGACTCTGTTGAAGAGGGTTTCACTGGAAGAATTGTCAAATATTTTCAGCAAAGCCAAAAATGTCTATATGGTCGACACAAAGGAACTACTGAAAGAGATCCAAATCTCTCAGCAGTTTCTAATCATTTTCACAAGAATAAAAAACTTTTATGGCCAATATATATATATATATATATATATATATATATATATATATATATATATATATATATATATATATATAATGAAATGGACAAAGTCCGATAATTATTTTAAGATATTTTATGTTTATACATTCTTTTTTTATAGATACAAATATTTAAGTAAATGCTCTGTTTTATAATAAACAGTATTTATAATATTTACCAGCCTGAATGTCCAAGAAATTTTCATAGAAAATATTCACCCTCTGACTGGAGTTGAACCTGTATCCTATATGCAACCGTCATTTTGCCTGATGTGCTCTTAACTGACAGAGCCACAGAGGATCGTTCGATTAGCAATATATATATATATATATATATATATATATATATATATATATATATATATATATATATATATATATATATAATAAAAAAATTATTCGAAAATTATAAAATAACTGTTATAAAATCACTAAAAAAATAGCCATTTTGTTTCAACACGTCTGATGTCTTACAAAGTGATGGTGTTGAATGTAGATTCTACATTCGACACCATCATTTGATAGTTATAATTTTCGAATAAATAATTATATTTGCTCTACTCTGTATTGAGCACTCTTCTAAGAATAGTATTTGTTGGTTCTTGGAATTTATTCCGTATACACCAATCCTATACTTGGTGATATATATATATATATATATACATATACGCGTGCGTGCACACACACACAGGGAGAGAAAAGTTTGAAAGGATTATTTAATTCAAGTTTTGCAGACAGATTCAATTCTGTTTCAACACATTTTCGAAATAATTACACCTTTACCGTCTCTCTCATATATATATATATATATATATATATATATCGACTCTCCCGTCGCGTTCGACGTATGAGGGTCAGGCCGATAAGTCCCCAGGAAACCGACATCCCGACACATGAGATTTGATTATAGTGGTGAAGGTCTCGTGCAGGACCAGCCACACTTTTGGAGGGACGAATACAGAAACCTGGTGCACCGAATGCATGCCACAAGGTTCCCAAACGACCCTCCATGTAGGTTTTGAATTCAGAGTTGTCCTTCTCCTAGACCAGTTGCCATCAAGGCTATAGAACCCAGTCTGTCCTGCTATTTTACCCATAGCTGGTGGGAGATGAAGAGGATACATACCTTTCCCAAGGGTATTAGCACGTAAGTGAATGTAATGGATTCGACTGAATTCGAACTCGGCTCTGCGATTCCTCAATCCAAGCCGCTATCCACTGCTCCACCGTGCCTCCTATATATATATATATATATATATATATATATATATATATATATATATATATATATGTGTGTATTTTAGAGAGAGAGAAAGGTTTGAAAGAATTATCTTATTTCATTTTTTATGGATAGACACCCCCATCAGACTTATCTGAACATGATGAGCAAAAACGTATCAGCAAAATGTGAAGCCCAGTCGATTAATTCTTTGAACATTGTTATTTTTTTTTATCTCTCAACTCCTGCTGCACTCTTGTTGTCGTCGTCGTTGTTGTTGTTAATACAAGCAGCCATTTTGCTTTCAAATATTTCCTCACTTTTAAACCTTTCTTGCTTTTTGTCTGGTCTTCCTCAAAATATTTTTGTTTTAAATAAATCTTGACAAAAATCGAAAATACAGTCTGATAAAAACGAGGATTATTGTCAAATGCAGATAAAAAAAAAAAAAAAAAATATGTTCAAATTCATAGAATCTGGGAGGAAGAATTTTGCCATCTGTGCAGATCACATAACCATGTTGTACTGATCAGTTTTCATTTGTACCTTGGAGGCAAAAATGCAAGAGAAAATAAACCAAAGTTCTTGCCATGAACTTATCTCAAAATCCGATTCTTTCAGACATTCTATCTAGTGTTCGAACAAATTATATATTTTTTCATATGTAAAACCAGATCCTGGCAAACAAGAAGACCATCTCTTGCCAACACCTAAAGTGAAAAGATTTTTTATGATCATTTCCTTGTTGGTATCATTTTGAAAATATGTGCAATTACTCAAAGTATCAATGAATCATAAGGCAAGAACCAAGTGAGATGATTAGTTTTACGTCAAAGGAAGTTCAACCTTTTATCATGTTATTCCTTTGGAAGGAGTCTTGCTTATAAAAGACTTTTTTAATTGAGAGAGGAAAAAAAAGTGGGAAAGAAAAGAAAAAAAAGAGAAGTTAAAAGAGAGGGAAAAAGAGAAGTTAAAAGAGAGGGAAAAAGAGAAGTTAAAAGAGAGGGAAAAAGAGAAGTTAAAAGAGAGGGAAAAAGAGAAGTTAAAAGAGAGGGAAAAAGAGAAGTTAAAAGAGAGGGAAAAAGAGAAGTTAAAAGAGAGGGAAAAAGAGAAGTTAAAAGAGAGGGAAAAAGAGAAGTTAAAAGAGAGGGAAAAAGAGAAGTTAAAAGAGAGGGAAAAAGAGAAGTTAAAAGAGAGGGAAAAGATTAAAAAAAAATGAAAAATAAAAGAAAGAGGAAAAGACACATTCTTTTGCTCAATCCCATCATAACATAGAAGTGAAAGAGAAAGAAAAAAAAACGCAAAATAGATTCTCATTTTTAATTATACATGCCAATACAGATGGTGATTATTACCTACAAGTGTTGGAGCTGCTTGAGAAGTGGTACAACCAAAAAGGCTTAGAAAGAAAAAAAAAAAAAAAAAATTTAAGTAAAGGCTGCAACAGGACTTTTATTTTGGAGACTAAATCTCATGTCTGCCATTCCCCCCCTTACTCGGGATTGCACAACAAATGTGGAATGATTCAACCAGCTGACCCCTTCTTTAAGAATCAAAAAGAATAAAAAGTGGAAGGATTAGAGAGGGCTTTCATTAACAGCGATATATAGAGACATCTGGGAAAAGACTTATATAGACTCATTTTTTAATTTTCTAAATTTAAAATTAGTCATTTTTTACCTGCTAAGAATAAATACTGTACATAGTTGCGACTATAGTCTCACCAAGAGCCAAGGTTCTTTCCCATAACTTGAAATTGGAAAGGTAACAAAGTCACTAATCTAGTGGTTAAGCAGACCCAACACCTTGGTTGGCTAAAATTCATCACCGGACGATGTAAACAATTATTAAGTGGAAGAAAGAGAAGATAAAAGATGCTTTTGTCTTCCATCGACAAAAAAATCAGTTGAGTTGTCAATCTGCTTTTTTCTTCTCTTCTCTTAAGATTAAATTTATTTTCTATGGATTATCAAACATTTGCAGGTTATTTAAAGCCAGAAAATATTTTTCAGATTGTAAAAAAAAAAAATTTTTTTTTTTTTAGATAATCATGATTCAGTGAAACAAAGTTTTTACTAAGTAACCCATAGCTGGGGGAGACGAGGTGGATTCATACCTTTCCCAAGGTTATTTGCATGTGCACGAATATAACAATTGGAACTACACTCACCGATTAACAATTCTCAACCATTATCCATTACACTTCCCACACATCTAAGCTTATAGCACCTGGCATTCCCAGGTGGTCACCCACCTAGGTACTGACCAGGATTGACACGGCTTAACTTTGGTGATCGTACATAAACTGGGGTTTTAATGTGATGTGGCCATTAGCTATACCAACTGCACATCCAAGCTTACAGCATCATGTATTACCAAGCAGTGACCCACCAAAGTACTGACCATGCTTGACATTGCTTAACTTCCTTGTATGCACAGGAACCAGTGTTTTAATATGATGTGGCTGTGAGTTCATTACATCACCCACATATCCAAGCTTACAGCACCTGGTATTCCCAAGCAGTTACCCATCTAGGTACTGATGTTGCTTAACTTTGATCATACATGAACCGGTGTCTCGGCATGACGTGGCCAAAAGCTCTCTCAAGATTGAAGACATTGCATTTTTGGAACATAAGCTTTTCCTTGTTTACAAAGATTAAAACATATATGCCATTGTGAAAAGATCATGTTTCTTTTGCTAAATGTCTGGATGGTGAGGCTATAGGCTAGAAATACATTTTAAAAATTTTGCTAGATATTTAGAGAAGAAAAAAAATAAAATGCTACTCTCCAAAAAAAAATCGAAGAGATCTTAAAAATAACATTAGTTGCAACTTTAAAGGTTATATTAGTTCAAACACAGACTAGGACAGTACACATTTCTGGCATCTTTTATCCCTTGTAGCACACAGAATTCTCAAATAGTAAAAACTACTTGTCTAGTTCTCGTATTCTGCCGTAAGCTTGAGCCAAAAGTAATAATAGAAAGTGTAGCAAAGTATTTCTAGAAGCCGTCAGGATGTTAGAAGCAAAGTGATGTTGTAATCAGATTTTGACTAACAGAAGCATGTTAGCCAAGAGCGAGGCAAAAACGAGCAGTCGGAAAACTAAAAAGCAGGCGTGCAGACAGAGAAAAGTGGTTGCAAGGTCCAACAAGAGATTGTGCAGAGGCTGTGTCGAGGTAACAAAAGACAGCAGCTTCATGGTTATGGGGCAGAAGCAGAGAGAGAGAGAGAGAGGAAAAAAAGCCAGCAAAAGAAAGCAAGTTCGAACAGAAAATAGCGAAGGATGAATTCAATAATAAATATGACAGGCAGTTACAAGCAACGAACTGTGAAAGGCTTGAACCCAATTTCACAGCAGCACACACACACACACACACACACACACACACACGCACACACAAAAAGGAGAAATGAATGAAGCACATGAAATAAATGGGAAAAGTGGGTAGAGACTGAAAGGAGGGAGTCAGCTTTCTTTTTGGTTTTCTGCCCATGGGGGACAACAGACATGAGAATGGTCAGCAAGAATATTTTGTTTTTTTTTGTAAATGTGATCCAGACAAGTATCATCTTCCTTGTATATTACTGAAAGCAGAAGAACTCATTTATGTATGCGTATGTATATAAACACTGGAAAAAAAGTAAAAGAAAAAAAAGAACGCATCTCAGGGGGTTCATTTACCTGCATAGAATATACACAAAAGTATATAATTGTAAGTCAACCTATATAACTGCATACCTGCATCTATACAGATCATGTTACCTCTTTTGCATATATTTAACACATATTTCTGTGCGTACACAGACATACATATCTTCGGGGTGCTTAAGTTTTGTGCATTAACAAATATGCCTAAATGCATGAGCTATCACTTGATGTGCTAGGGTTAATTTTGTTTTCGTTTTTTTTTGTTTTTTTTTTTCTGTATGAGAAAACAACAATTCTTCTGGTCTCAATAAAATGTGCGTTTGCAAGCAACAAATAGCGCAAGCCCTGATAACGACCAATCTGTTCAATGTCTGTCTATCTCTTTGACCTTTCTCCAAACAAAGCTGTATATGTGACAAAAACAAAAAAAAAAAAATAAAAAAAAAAAATAAAATAAAATAAATAAATAAATAAAAATATTCAGATATGACAAACAGTTCCAAACACTTGCTTCTCAACATAAAATATTGGCCACTTCCTAAAACTAGAAACAAATTCATGTGCAACCATTTAAAGAGTGTCATTCCAATTCCTGGGAAACATTGGGCAGGGGGGGGGCATTAAGAATTTGGGAAAAAAAAAAATAAAATAAAATAAAAAGTTGTGATCTATTTTGCTTTTTCTTTCAGCACTGACATTGTTGGACTTCTCACGTTTGAAAACAAGAGGGAATTTCAGATTACCGTACAGCTGAAGTTTGTGTGAGAGTAATGATCAACGAGCCACAACGCAAACTAAGATGAGAGTTTTTGTTTTTTTTTTGTTTTTTTTTTTAAATAAAAAAAAGTGGGGGAGAGAGAGAGAGAGAGAGAGAAAAAAAACAAGATACCAGAAGAAATAAAATTAAAGAAGAATAATAATAAAAGAAATAAAATAGAATAGACTTCCACGTTTGTTGGTAACGTTTTAGAAATGAGAACTTCTTGGCAGTAAGTGAGGAGGAGAAATTACAAAGTAGTGATTTTGCGTAGCCGATTTCAGAGTCAGAGATGAACAGAGCAAACAATCAATTTCACGTGGAGGGGGTGGGGATTTAAATAAGAACTATCACAGTGTTCTGTACAACTCTTTCAAAAAAGTAAAGGAAAAGGAAAAAAAAAAAAAAAAAAAAATGAAGAAAATAGCTCTCAGCCAGACACATCAGTAGAAAAAAAAAAGAAAAAGTAATCAAAAAGGCAACAACAACAACAAAAACAATAACATCGTTCATAAAAGGGGAGGGGGACGGGAGCAATTTAGAGACGTGACTGAATTAGGAACAAAAAAACAAAAAAGTCTGCAGACCTGGTATATTCTATAGACAGGTACATGAAGTTTGTACAATTATATCCGATACAGTCAAAAACTTCCACACACGGGAATAATAGCCGGAAGTAAGCCTCAAACACATACAGGCAGAGTTGCCTAACATAGGCTTCTAGGATATATTAGGTTGTAAACTATTAATTGCAGATGGCATAGAGAGAGACGTGAGAAACAATTCATGATGAGTCAGAAAGGCCAAAAGAAAATCCAAGCTTTTAATTACGGAATTCTTAATCAACGCCGTTTTGCTGGAACCTGTAAAAATCTTAATTCTTTGACAAAATGAGAGTTGCAAAAGAGTTTCAAGCCAAGCGTAAACTGAGGAGGCACAAGTCTAACAAAAAAAAAAAAAAAAAAATTAGAGAGAGGATGAAGGAAAAGAAAAAGAACAAGCGTGCTGAACTCGAGAAATTCATTGGTTAAAATACATAATAATCCAAGTAGATATCAATGCAGAGAAAGTGTTCAGAATGTCTTAGCTGCCTCGGCTGTTGTTTTTCATTAGGAAATGCAAGGTTAAAGGGCAACTTTCAAAGCATGGAACCCAAGAAAAGGTCAGTTTAGTTATAAAAACAACTTGTCAAAATGTCATTAATATGGAATGTAATCTATACAGTGATGTTATTTCTTGTTAACAAAATGAACAACCGTTCTTCCCCTCCCCCCCGTCGCTTTGCTGTATCCGGTAGTATTGTCAGCTTCAGATGTGGAGACTTTGAGACAATCAAAACATTAGGGACACTTATTTCTAGTAAAACTTTTTTGGTTAAATTTTCTTGAACCATACTTACTGAGGATTTCCTTTCAGATCAATGGAACAAACAGCATTCCCTTTAAGATGATGAATAATAGAAACGAAGAGATGATTTAAAATAATTGCTTCCTGGTTATTAAAGGAGAGAGAAGGAGGGAGAGAGAGAAGGAGGGAGAGAGAGAAGGAGGGGAGAGAGAAGGGAGGAGAGAGAAGGAGGGAGAGAGAGAAGGAGGGAGAGAGAGAAGGAGGGAGAGAGAGAAGGAGGGAGAGAGAGAAGGAGGGAGAGAGAGAAGGAGGGAGAGAGAGAAGGAGGAGAGAGAGAAGGAGGGAGAGAGAGAAGGAGAGAGAGAAGGAGGGAGAGAAGGAGGGAGAGAGAGAAGGAGGGAGAGAGAGAAGGAGGGAGAGAGAGAAGGAGGGAGAGAGAGAAGGAGGGAGAGAGAGAAGGAGGGAGAGAGAGAAGGAGGGAGAGAGAGAAGGAGGGAGAGAGAAGAGGAGAGAGAGAAGGAGGGAGAGAGAGAAGGAGGGAGAGAGAAGGAGGGAGAGAGAGGGGAGGGAGAGAGAAGGAGGGAGAGAGAGAAGGAGGGAGAGATGGAATAAACGAGAGAGAAGGAGAGAGAGGGAATAAACGAGAGAGGAGGGAGAGAGAGAGGAATAAACGAGAGAGGAGGAGAGAGAGAGGGAATAAACGAGAGAGGAGGAGAGAGAGAGGGAATAAACGAGAGAGGAGGAGAGAGAGGGAATAAACGAGAGAGGAGGAGAGAGGGAATAAATGAGAGAGGAGGAGAGAGAGGGAATAAACGAGAGAGGAGGGAGAGAGAGGAATAAACGAGAGAGGAGGAGAGAGAGGGAATAAACGAGAGAGGAGGAGAGAGAGAGGGAATAAAACGAGAGAGGAGGAGAGAGAGGGAATAAAGAGAGGAGGAGGAGAGAGAGAGGAATAAACGAGAGAGGAGGAGAGAGAGAGGGAATAAACGAGAGGAGGAGAGAGAGGGAGAGAGGAGGAGAGAGAGGGAATAAACGAGAGAGGAGGAGAATGGTTTCAAGATTTTCATAATTCCTTTGATGATTCTACTTGTCATAATCATATAGTAAATTATTGAAGAAAACCCCAAAACTGGTGGTACTAAATAAGATTTCAATCAACAATGACTGCCAAAAGAAAGACATCCATTCTAGCACGTTCTTTAACAATCAGCTAAGAAGATTTCAGTCTTCAGCAAAGACATTAGCAATGTAGTTGAAAACCAAAAGAATAGAAACAATAGGACAACAAGCTAGAAGTTCAGCTTCTGAAGATGAAACCTTGAACGATGCAACCACACAGTGCTAAGGTCGGAGAGAAATGAAAAACCATTATTTCAAAGATCAACAGACAGCAAACATGGAAAAGCTCCGAGAAGGAGCAGGCATTTCTGGGAATGAGTCGCAATTTGTTGCATAAACGTGAAAGTTCATTATTCTTACCAACTAACGTGCCACGTCTACATTCACAATGGTCACAAAGCGGGAGTTGCAGTGGAGGGGGGTGGGGAATGGAATTGGCTCGGATACAAGACCAAGAGGGCAACGATGTTTTACTGGCTGAGAGTAACAGAAAATTTCAAGTTTATCTCCGCTTGCTATGAAAGAAGCGAAAACACAAAGAGAGAGAGAGAGAGAGAAAGAGAGAATCTGAAATGTAAAGAGGTTGAAGTCGGAGGAAGAAACGACTTAGTTGAGGAGGAGGGCGTCTGACAAGTAGATGAGTGGAATTTTCAAGTTCACTCAATCCTAAAACTAAATTTCCAAGTATGCAACAAAGACAGCCACTTTGTTGCTTCCCGACCCACCACTGGACAAAGAAGAAAAATCTTATCACCATACTTCTTCACAGGGTTGGAGAAAAGTGGGTGAGGAAATTTTTCAAGATGGTGGCGGGGATGGAGAGAAAAATTTAGGGAGGAAAGAATTTTTTTTTTTTTTTTTTTTTAACTAAAGAGAGCTAGGAAGACAAACAGGGTCAGTTAGAGAGTGGGCGTTTGTCTGATTTGTTCTCGATACAAACTTCACACCATAGATCCAACATCCTCGAGTTTACGGTCCTTCAACATCCTACTGAAGTATTGAACAAGAAGAGTGGAAGGGGAGGAGGAGGAGAAATGACAATGAAATTGTTTCCAGTTCCAGATTTGGCATTGTAAATAAACATGGAATAGATGGCAGAGATTGAGATGAAGTTGTATTTAAAAGGTGGCAATTGCCGTAGTTGCTGCTGCTGCTGTCGTCACTATTGCTGCTATTCCTTGGAAGAGTTGAGCAGAAGACGACAGAAGGAGCCTTGCTGCCAGGAGGAGGGGGAAAGGGGGTAGCACCGAGCGCTGACATCATCTGATACGTGTAAAGAGATTCAGGACTGATTTAGACTCCTGAAAAAAAAAAAAAAAAAAAAAAGTTGCTTTAGACAAAAGATACATTTTTATTTATTTTTAAAAAAAAAAAAAAAAAAAAAAACAAAACTCTGGAAAGATTTTAAAATTATGAAAATATACAAACTGTTTTTTGTTTTTTTTTTAATTCTACTTAAGACACCTCTGATTTTTTAAAATGGATAGCCCCCTAGTGTCTGTCTTCCATAAAAACTGAGCAACAACTGCGCCACATTGAGTGCTACACAATCTTGCTGAGTCAGAAGACTAGTGAGAAGGAGCAAAGAAACAAGTTGCCAACTAGGAATTAGGATTACTTTTAGGGTAAAAATAAACGTCCCCATGTGACTAATGCAGGGTTGATGTAAAGACGATGTTTATGGAATCAGAAAGGCAAGTTCAAATTTCAGTAGAGTTTGCTGCTTCTAATCCTGAAATGACGAGTCCAGGTTGACCATACATATTTCTCTTAAAGTTTCCTGGCTTCCGTTCGTCTTTTTAAAAGTTGGATAAACTGCAATAAATTTTAATTTTGTACACATTCTAGTGATGGATGTGCAGGTGATGTAAGGGTTAGCAGTTCTGAGCAAGAAATCAGCAGGCCAAGTTCAAATTTCAGCTAAGTTTGATCCATACACTTTTACACAAATACTCTTGGAAAAGGTATGAATCTATCTCTTCTTCCCCCCAGCTATGGGTTTAATAGCAAGGCAGACTGGACTCTCTCGCCATGGCAACCAATCTAGGAGAAGAACAAGTCTGAATTTAAAAGTGTATGTAGTACTGGCTTAGTACATAGTATACATCATCGACAAAATTACAGTTTACAATCACTCTGTAATCTTTAATGTGTTTGACCAATGATTGTATCGATGTATTATTATTACATTGTCAATCACTATCTATCCTGCTTATCTTTGAGGCTCTTGAGCCTTATATTAGGTGAACTTTAATTTAATAACAACAAAATAAAATTGATTATATATACTGGACTCTCCCATCATTTTTGTTATAACTTAGAGAAGGTTACTGAATAGAATAATCAAACAAAGGTTGGTAATAAACGATAATACTTAGGACAAGAACAACATATATAAGATTCACTAGTAGCACATAGAATAAGTAGTCAACTGCTAGAAAGTCAAGTAAATTCCATACTGAATCTCTAACTCCAGACCAACATACAGTATTTACTACTGTATCTATGTGAACGGGGACATAGCCATTATCATCCGTAGGTATGCTACAACAGTTTTCAACATATGAGGATCAAGCAGCTCAGCTCTTAGGACTAACAGCCAGACTAGCCGCATATATCATTTGATTATAGTGGTGAAGGCTTGTGCAGAACCAACCACATTTTTAGGAAGTGCTGAATACAGAGAACTGGTGAATAGTATGTCACAAGGTTCCCAACTGACCCTCTGCAGGTTTTGAATGCAGAGTTGTTCTTCTCCTAGACAGGCTGTCACGCAAGACTATAGAGCCCAACCTGTCGTGGGACGAGAAATGGATTCATACCTTTCCCAAGGTTATTAGTACATAAGCGAATGTAATGAATTCAATTGGAATTTGAACTCAGCTCTCTGATTCCTCAATCCAAGTCCCCAATTCATTACTCCACCATGCCTCACATACATATATATATATATATAATTACTTTAAAAAAAAAAAAAAAAAAATGGATACTCATTTGAAATGGGGATACCATTTTCATTTTTATTCTAAATAGTGTGTATTACATCTATCAGCCTACACATTCAAGAAACCTTAATAAAGAAAATGTGCTCCCTGCAAGGACTGAACCTACATCCCCCTTTCTAGGAGAAACAAGCATTGGCTACAGTGAGTCTCTTAATTTAGCATGGTTCTATTTTCCCTTCTAAGGAAAGGACACTTCCTCTTTGCGATATTTTTCTCAAAAAGCCTCTACCTGCTCAGTTTCATATCCAAAACTTAAAGGAATTTCTAAAAAATTAATGGGGAGATATATATATATATATATATATATATATATATATATATATATATATATATATATATATATATATATGAAGAAAAATATGGAAAAACAAAAATCCGAATATGCAGTTATACCTTCTTCAGGACATAGTTATTAAAACATAATTAAAATTAGACGATATTCAGGTCAACATTGAAACAAAATTAAAACAGCATACTTGCATATTTGGATTTTTGTTTTTCCATATTTTTCTTCATACTGTCGGATCTATATCCACATATTTGCTTACATATATGTAAATTTCTAATTATTTTAAGGTTGCATCTTTTTTTTTTTTTTTATTTCTTATTTTATTTTATTGTTTTTTTTTATTTTTTTACTACTAGTAATTATCAGTTGGGGAGATGAAACTTGAAAAACGTAAAACAGTAAAAGGAAAAAAAAACAAAACCGGAAAACATAATTACCTTCTGAGTATCCGACGAGTATTCACAAAAAAAAAAAGAAAAAGTAAAAAAATCCCCCATAAACAACTTAAATAGAGCTGACACCATTGCGATTGGCTGTTGGTCAACTTCCAAATCAAATGCGTGACAGAGGGGTATGGTTTGCCTATAATATAAGTCAGTGTCTTCAGGCTGTCAATTTAGGGGGGGGGGTCGCATCAGAGACTGATCAGCTCTGATGGGTGTCAACTTGGTGAGGGGAGTATAATGTTTGAAAGAACCGAAACTGCCCAATGACCCAATTCAGAATATCACTGACGACGCCCTCTAGCACTAAATAGTGTGTGTGTATATATATATATATATATATATATGAGATTCATTTAATAGGGTTGTCGCATACATGGTGATCGTAACAAAAATAATTCAGTCCCACTGGCTTTTGTCAAAAATGTCATGGTGTACTCCTGACTTTAACCAGTTAGTGCTAATGGTAAGCTGCTATCAGAAAAATAGAGTGCTTGTCTTCTTTGGGTGTGACACCCAGTCCTACCCACCCCCCAAACCCAAAGAAGAGAGACATGAGCACCAAGCCAAAAATTTTTGTAGATCAAATACTTACTTTTGTTGATCTTGTTTTACTAAAAACATTCCAAAACCTGAGTGTCTCATCTCCTGCTCCTGTAACAATAGCTTCACCATCAGGAGACATTGCCTGTATGATGGAAGAAAGAGAGAGAGAGAGAGAGAGAGAGTTAGGACAATAGTATCACAGTTATCATTAACAAGCATTGAAACAAAATTAACATATATAGTATCACTTGTTGTTATTATTAACAAGCATTGAAAGAGGGGAAGCTTTTGTCCTTTTTAAATGCAGCTCCAGTTAATATTCAGGAAACAAAAGAACTGTTTTTTTTTTTTTGGTTTTCACCATCCTTCCCAAAATTGTTGCCTCTATCTCTAAAGTATTATTTTTAGACTGAAACAAAATTACGATGATGTATGAAGGAACAATGATTTTGCGGCAAACAGAACAGTGGATCGCTTATTATTTATGAACAAAGATAATCAAAAGACATTGGTGCAATTGTTTTTTTGTTTTTTTTTTCCTGGTTGGCTAACAAACAAATAAGCATGTGGCAAATAAGTGAGGACATTTCAGTGTGAAAAAATAAAGAAAAACTGAGACATTTCAGCAGAAAATATCTGGATGACAGCACAAAGGTAGACTAGAGATGACAACAATATTGACTTCCTTCCCACCTGCAGAATTAAGCCAAATTTTGCCTATGTTCTAAATGAAACAAGTGACTGAAAAAAAATTCTTTATAATTCACTTAATATGTACACCAGAAAATCTGATATAAACTATAATTAAATTTTATAAAAACTTTGGTATTAACTATAACAATGAAAATAATAAAAATATCCAATATTAATTATAACAATCAAAATTAAAAAAATAAAAACTCAAATAATTATAGGTGTCTTAAAAACGCCAGTGATAATTATAGGTTCCTTAAAAGTGTCAGTATTGTTCAGAGGTCAATACCTATAACACATTAAGCTGATCAATACTGATACTTTTAAGGAACCTATAATTATCACTGGCATTTTTAAAACACCTATAATTATTTGAGTGTATATATATATATATATATACACACACACACACGTGTGTGTGTATTGATGTATTTCATTAAATAATATAGACAAGTTTTGTCTATTTTATGTAAATTCTTTTCATATTGTCTGATAAGCTTAATAATGTTATCATTAAAAGACGAAAGAAAATCACAATATTGATATCTTTTAATCCTATCTAAGCTTTCAGCTTACATAAGTCATTATCAAAGATGACAATTCCATCACAATATATTAAACAATACACAGACAAAACAATAATGATAGTCTGTTTTTGTTTACATGGAAGATTTCCAAGCAACGACAAACTCGTGCATATGTATGTATGTATATAATTACAAGGTTTGAATAAGCAGCTCTAAATAGTCTGGCCACAATTAGCCTTATAATCTTTTTTTTTTTCCATTTTAGATCATGGCTGGATGATCTACCCTCCCCACTGTGCAAGTTTGGTTAGCTTGTCAAATTGTACTCGTCTGGTGGTATATAAGGTAATCATCTTATTACGGTAAGTTACTGGCTACCTGAAGATTGTGTGCAAACACCTGAAACTTAAAGTAGTGACCAGTCATTGCCTACCTGGTTATTGAATATGTGTGTGTGTGTGTGTATATATATATATATATATATATATATATATATATGATGGACTCTATTGTTGATTTCAACATATAATAATCCTTAAAAATTACATATATTAATAAGTATTAGAGCTCCGTTATATTACATCGAACACTAGTTTAACACCGGTTCTCAGTGTGCAATATATCTTATTTTTATTTATATATATATATATATATTCCAAGGTTTGAATAAGTACCTCTAAATAGAGTCTTCCCAAAATTAGCCTTCTGGCATAAAAGTGGTCTATGCCATAAAAATGACAGAGCATTTAAATATTAATTCAATAACCAGGTAGGCAATGGACTGGTCACTACTTGAAGTTTCAGGTGTTTGCACACAATCTTCAGGTAGCCAGTAACTTACCGTAATAAGATGATTACCTTATATACCACTGGACAAGTACAATTTGACAAGCAAACCAAACTTGCACAGTGGGGAGGGTAGAAATTTTTTTTTTATTATTTACCATTTTAGAGCTACCTGAAGATTGTGTGCAAACACATGAAACTTAAAGTAGTGACCAGTCATTGCCTATATATATATATATATATAAATAAAATACACAATTCATAAATACATGGCAGTAGTCCTAACTGCTTAAGTGTAAGTTTATTTTTGTGATTTAAAGTTTAGGAAATTTTATTACATATGATTATAACGAACTCTCCAAAAACAAATGCACTTTCTTCCCAAGGAAAATTTTATTTTCAGCTCAAGACATTTTCAGTACTTTTATTTTGAACATCATCCTTTCATAATATAAAAACACCATTAACAGAATGTGTCAGATGTATTTCATCAATTGTGTCAGACAATTTCCTCCACCCCTCTTATACTAATTTTTTTACAATGTATTCCAATTTCAAAGTTTAACATTTTAATGGTTTACAAAAAAAAAAAAAAAAAATTCAATGATTTGTAGATATATATTTCCATAGTCTTCTGTAATGTGCCATGTTACTTTAGAATGTGGCCTTTCATGGCTCTCCACAACTTCCAGTCCTTTGTAGAACTAAATGTTTGCCTCCTTACTATTCCAACCTGCCCCTGTTCTACCATTTGTTTACATAAGCTCATTAAGTAGCTTACTCACTGTCTCTCTCCTACTGTCTAGCCTTCAGTATGTCCTGTGAGCATCAAATTTTCCAAGTCCTCTTTCCGTGCCCCAGAAATTTCAATTGTTTTTTCCATTCCCATTTTCCTTAAAATTTTCACATTGCTCATATGTGATGTCAATGGCATTCTCAGCCTCAAGTCTCTTCTGTCATGAGATTGTCCGACATTCATTGCCATATATCAAGATTGATATTACATAATGGTTTAGCACTCTTTTCTTTGTTTCTAACATTTTCCTATCTCTCAATACTTTGCTTAGTTTATGAAAGGCATGAAGAGATTGTCCAGCATTCCCTGCCATATAGGAGATTAGATATTACATATCAGTTCAGCACTCTTTTCTTTGTTTCTAATGACATTTTCCTATCTCTTAATACTCTGCTTACTTTATGAAAGGCATGAAGAGATTGTCCAGCATTCCCTGCCATATAGGAGATTAGATATTACATATCAGTTCAGCACTCTTTTCTTTGTTTCTAATGACATTTTCCTATCTCTTAATACTCTGCTTACTTTATGAAAGGCATGAAGAGATTGTCCAGCATTCCCTGCCATATAGGAGATTAGATATTACATATCAGTTCAGCACTCTTTTCTTTGTTTCTAATGACATTTTCCTATCTCTTAATACTCTGCTTACTTTATGAAAGGCATGAAGAGATTGTCCAGCATTCCCTGCCATATAGGAGATTAGATATTACATATCAGTTCAGCACTCTTTTCTTTGTTTCTAATGACATTTTCCTATCTCTTAATACTTTGCTTAGTTTATGAAAGGCATGGGAGAGTGTCAGTATTCATTGCCATATAGGAGATTAGATATTACATATCAGTTCAGCACTCTTTTCTTTGTTTCTAATGACATTTTCCTATCTCTTAATACTCTGCTTACTTTATGAAAGGCATGAAGAGATTGTCCAGCATTCCCTGCCATATAGGAGATTAGATATTACATATCAGTTCAGCACTCTTTTCTTTGTTTCTAATGACATTTTCCTATCTCTTAATACTTTGCTTAGTTTATGAAAGGCATGGGGAGAGTGTCCAGTATTCATTGCCATATAGGAGATTAGATATTACATATCAGTTCAGCACTCTTTTCTTTGTTTCTAATGACATTTTCCTATCTCTTAATACTCTGCTTACTTTATGAAAGGCATGAAGAGATTGTCCAGCATTCCCTGCCATATAGGAGATTAGATATTACATATCAGTTCAGCACTCTTTTCTTTGTTTCTAATGACATTTTCCTATCTCTTAATACTTTGCTTAGTTTATGAAAGGCATGGGGAGAGTGTCCAGTATTCATTGCCATATAGCAGGATTTATATTACGCAGCAGTTCAGCACTGTTTCTTATTCCTTACTTTTAGTTTTTAGAAGGCATCTTTCACCATTTCAATGCACCTTTGGATTTCAGTGTCACACTTTCTACCTACGTGCATGATTAAAATATAATATAAATCAATTAATATCAATAAGTGTAGGGTCGCTCCCACCTTGTCCACTGGAGAACCTCCAGCTGGGGTCCATTAGGTGACATTGCATAAAGCAGTATAAAAGGAAAGGACACAGGCTCTTTATCTCTCCACAGGACACGACTATTTCCTTTTTGAAAAGACGTCATGTTACTACAATAATATCTCCACAACAACCTATCACATAAATATACATTGCTTTTCAACAGGAGAAAGCATCCCTGTTCAACAAACAAGACAAAACTGCTACAGTCCGAACTCCAGCACCCTTGGGACCAGGCCACTCCTTGATCATAGAAAATATGGAACAAAACAAAAAAAAAAAAAAAATCGCCAACTTCCTGAAGTGACGTGGCACATAGATGTAGGTTTTGAATTCATTTCTTTTGAGGTTGTGTAACGACATTCAGTTGGAAAATTGGAACTTTTTTAATCTCTACTGGAAATCGGCAAACTTACCAAATAAAGAACTCTGTAAGAATGTCCAGTGAGTTTTGCAATCTGTACAAGACCTGGATACTTCCAAACCAGTATCTGATTCTGTGAGTAACCATGGGTACTGACCTAGAGAAAAAAAATAAAATAAAATAAATAAAGTTTAAACTGAACTAAAAGTGAGCAGAGAATTTGCACAAGAGATGGGAGGGTTGCAAAAAAAAAAAAAAAAAAAAAAAAAATACACATAGGTCTTCAACATACCAGCTCATTAGAGTGTTTGGACCAAGCGAGATTGCAAACTTGTGATCCAGTGTCCACACACTGCAGAGGCTGCCCGGTGAGAGTGTTCCAGAACCTCATGCAGCGGTCGGCCGTGCCACCCCCGCTGGCAAGCAGGCCGTGTTGGTGAGGAGACCAGGCAATAGCCTTCACTGCCGCCAGGTGTTCTGTGTAGGTCTGAACAGGACTGACACTTGTCATGTTCCACACAAATAATTTGTTATCATTGCCACCAGATGCTAGGTGCTGGTGATCAGGAGACCACTTCAAACCACACACCTGAAAGAAGAGACAAAAAAAAAAAAAAAATCAATCATGATCAAATTGGAGAAAAAAAAAAAACAAAACACAAGCAATTATCTAATAATTGTATTTGCTATCAAAAGAATTTTCAGCTATTACCATGAAGCAAACATTAAAACATTTGTTTCAATGAGAAGTTTTATTTTCAAATTGAAAAGATTAGAGTCAAAAGAAATAAAAATAAAAGGCTTGTTTTCTTAGCTGAGAAACTAACAAGTATTCTGCAAAAGGAATTAGCAAGTAGAGATTGTATGAATTTAATTGATTCATACATTTTTTACGGCTTATCAACCCTTTGCATATTTAAAGCTCGAAGGTATTTTTAGACAAAAATAGTTTAGTGATGCAAGTATTACTAATTAAAAAGAAAGAGAGCGAGAGAGACAGACACAGAGAGAGAGACAGACACTGATAGCAAGAAACACCAAAGAAAACGAGAACGAGAGAGAACAAGAACAAGGAATCAACTTACTTCTTGCCTGTGCCCCGTTAATTTTCTTTCTGGAGCAAGTGAAGGAGTTCTTATGTCACGTTGGAGAATGAGTCGATCTCGGCTTCCTGAAGACAAGATATCTGCATTCCAGGCTAAGGCCCCTGAAAATGACAATCATCATCATCATCAACAACACGAACGATATCTAAGTATTTCACCAACAAAGTTATATGTAATGAAAACAAAAGAATAAAAAGTGCCAGTTTTCAGTCTGAGTAAAAAAAAAAAAAATCAGGTAAAACTCAATATCAATCATGAAAGCATTTTTATTTTAACACCATCACCCCAGTGTTAAAAAAAAAAAAAAAAAAAAGCAACATTAACTACTCTAAAATCAATGTCTTTTTGAAATTTTGTCAAATGTTGTGAGCATAATAAAAAATGACATGAAAATGTTTAGGAAAGAAAGATTTTGACCCCGCCAATTTTGAAATTGTGATCTTTGTGATGAGCAGGAGAACTGAACAGTGACTTACACAATGTAATTGAGCATTTCAATTTTCTTCCAAAAATCTGATCAAATGACTAAATATCAGATTTTGTTTTTTTTTGTGTGAGATGGAGGAAGCTTTTTTGAATTTCCTTGCAATGATACATGCAGTAAGAAAAACAAAACTCAAGACTTCCCATAATAATGGTTGTAAAAAAAATAAATAAATAAAAAATAAATAGAATTATTTCCTTTAGAATTATTTTCTTTTAGAAAATTACTAAAATAAAGTCTTCTTAAAGAAAAGAATGGCATCAGGTGTTGAAAGACATTTCTGCTTGAATAGACAAACTGTAAATTCAAAATAAAAAGATTTCTGATGATGACAATAAAAATAATGTCAATAATAAGAAGCAAGAAAAAAAATCAACATTGACAGAGAGGCACGGATGCAAACAGAGAGAGAGAGAGAGGCACGGATGCAAACAGAGAGAGAGAGAGAGGCACGGATGCAAACAGAGAGAGAGAGAGAGGCACGGATGCAAACAGAGAGAGAGAGAGGCACGGATGCAAACAGAGAGAGAGAGGCACGGATGCAAACAGAGAGAGAGAGGCACAAATGCAAACAGAGAGAGAGAGGCACAGGTGCAAACAGAGAGAGAAAGAGAAGCACAGGTGCAAACAGAGAGAGAAAGAGAAGCACAGGTGCAAACAGGGAGAGAAAGAGAAGCACAGGTGCAAACAGGGAGAGAAAGAGAAGCACAGGTGCAAACAGAGAGAGAAAGAGAGAGGCACGGATGCAAACAGAAAGAGAGAGAGGCACGGATGCAAACAGAAAGAGAGAGAGGCACGGATGCAAACAGAAAGAGAGAGAGGCACGGATGCAAACAGAAAGAGAGAGAGGCACGGATGCAAACAGAAAAGAGAGAGAGGCATGGATGCAAACAGAAAGAGAGAGGCACGGATGCAAACAGAAAGAGAGAGAGGCACGGATGCAAACAGAAAGAGAGAGAGGCACGGATGCAAACAGAAAGAGAGAGAGGCACGGATGCAAACAGTGAGAGAGAGAGGCACGGATGCAAACAGAGAGAGAGAGAGAGAAAGAGTGGTGCAGACACATTCACAAACCACTGGAGCTAAAATCTGAAAATTATTTTCTCTTACCAACTCTTGCTGTGTGTCCTTCAAGAGTGTTAATTTTCTTATTAGCTGTGACATCCCAAATTTGTACATAACCTTTATGAGTTCCCACAGCAACAAGATGGCCCTGTGAAGGAAATCAGAATAGAATCTTAACAACAACAATCTCTAGGGTTAAGTGGTTGCTATGTACCAAACAAAGCACATTTAAATATACAAAAAAGCAAAACCAGGACAACAAAAAGAGGTGGAAAGTCAAAAAAACATAACAAATTTAGACTTTTCTGCCCACTCACCTCACTTTAATGAAAGGGAGAAAGCCATAGACATGCAGTGAACCAAAGTCTTAAGTCAGGTGACTTTCCTGTCACACATGCAATGAAGGAAGCAATTACAGTCAACCATATTGCAGTCTGGACAAAAGCAATAATTGTAAATTCATCTACATTAAAAAAGTAAAATACCATAATCATTTTTGTATAGATCGCTAAGGAGTATAAGATGCAGAGAAATTCCGGGGGAGCTTTTGTGTACAAAATGCACCTGATTTTAGAGCAAAGAAAATGAAAACTTATGCAAAAAGAAAGAGGTAAAAAAAAAAAAAGAAAGAGGGGGGAAAAAGAAAGGGGAAGAGGAAAAAAGGAAAAAAAGGGAAAAGGAAAAAAAAGGAAAAGGAAAAAAAGGGAAAAGGAAAAAAAGGGAAAAGGAAAAAAAGGGAAAAGGAAAAAAGGAAAAAGGAAAAAGGAAGAGGAAAAAAGGAAAAGGAAGAGGAAAAAAGGAAAAAGGAAAAAAGGGAAAAGGAAAAAGGAAAAAAGGGAAAAGGAAAAAGGGAAAAAGGGAAAAGGAAGAGGGAAAAAGGGAAAAGGAAGAGGGAAAAAGGGAAAAGGAAGAGGGAAAAAGGGAAAAGGAAGAGGGAAAAAAGGGAAAAGGAAGAGTCTATTTTATATATATTAACACAGGCTCTAATTTGGGACCAGAGGAAATCTCTCTTATATCCAGGTTTCTCTTATATCCGGGTTACACTGTAATGTCATATTTATCCTTTCATAGATGAAAAAGGGACCAAATTAAGTCAAAAAATAAAAAATTATTTTAAAAATAGAAGAGTGTAACTATGTTTATTAATCTTTTCAATTTTGGATTCATAAATTTCGTTTCCACTTAATAACGATATCACATCCAGGAAATAGACTAATACAAAATTTTACACAATTTTAAACTATTATAAATTAGCATAATTAAAATTTAAAAAAAAAATGAAAAAATTCTTGTAAAAATTCATTATTCATCAGAAAAATTTTATTTCTTCAGACAATAGTGTTCTTAATATAACTTATTTACAAAAACAGTTAAAAGCTTTTGTAATTTAATAATGCCATAGTTTTATTGCATTAATTATTTTTCAATTCAGAGCAGATTTTCAATTAGAATAGTGCTAGTTTGAAAAAAAATATTAGGCAATTTATATTCACCAAGGAGTCCTATTTTTAACAAATAAAAAAATTCAGGAAATAGAAAGTTTTTTTGCAAAATTTCATGAAATTAAGTTGATTGTTTAACATATGTAAAAGACAAAAAAAAAATAATTTTTTTAACAAAATTTTCTAAAAAAAAGAAAAAAAAAAAATTTCATAAATAATTCCATTCATTTGTGAATAAGTCTTGAAAATTTCATTAAAATTGGACAATTATTTAATTTTTACAAGAATTTCCAAATCAATGTGTTTTCAACATAAAATAAATGCAAAAAGTCAATGTAGTTATGTGATGACATAAACAAAACAACACTTTTAAACATGTTAGAAAGGATTAAAAACTTTCAAAAAATAATCAAAAAATGCTTTGGTCTTTCATCTTAATAACAAACATTTTCATGATAAACTCTATTTTTATTAAGTTTGTGGCCTTTTTCATTACGCTATGCTGTTTTCCGCAAAAAAAGTGGGAGGTACCTAATTAAGTTTTACCTTTGAATGATTTCCAGACTTACATAATCGTCTACCCTCAACAAAATCCAGAAAAAGTACAGAACCAGACGAGACTTAGAGAAACATTATGAAAGATTTATTTCCCTTTGTTGCAATGTGTCATTAGATATATATTATCTCTCTGGTAAACAAATAAATTCAAATTGACCCAATTTTGTCCATTTTGAGTCCTGGTAAAAATGGGATCGAGCTCTAAGCTAAAGTTTAAGACTCAGAAGAATTTTGGACACGATTTAGGATGAAAATAACTTGCATCTCATACACACAGGATTACAGTAAATAAATAAAACATACAGCAAATTTGAAGTCTTCAAACATTTCGTATTTTATTAATTCTACAAACGTTTATTACTGATAGCAATTTATATATTTCATAGAACAATTAACTCAAGGGCTTGTCTAAGAAGAGTACAACCGACCTAGTATGAGAAAATATGTCAACTAGTATTGAATTGGAAATTAACAGGTGTTAAAATTCACTTTCATATTAATGGAGACGAAAAGCACTTGAGTGTGCTCACAGTTGGGTAGCCCTGCATTTAAATGCACAGCTTAACACCTGTCACAACATCAACTAGAGACACTGAAAATCCACAACTCAGTTGCAGATTTCAAAAGACCATAGCCAATAGTACGAGGGAGGGAGGGTTAAACAGGACACTTAAATTTAACTTTCCTTTCATTTTCCAACAATTTAGTGAATGTTGCAGATCGCAATTGCTGTTTACTCCATTAGGGTCAACTTTATCACAATTGTAAACAGAAAAGCGTACGTGTGTTTAAAAAGTAACAAACATTTAAATTCCATGAATCTGGCCCAGTGCAGCACGAGTATTTCTCGTTTACTTGAAAGAAATCATGTTTGCCAAGAGAGAAAGCAAGAATGGAAAAAAAAAGAACGTTGTTTAGTTTTGAGTAATGTATCAGTCAATCATGACATACTGGTGACCTTGAGGATCAGAAAGGTCAATATGAATGACATACAGCAACAGTGAATTCATCGAGCTAAAAAGTGAAGTAAAAAGTGTCATATCTGGACAGCATCAATAAATAGAAGCAACGTCCATTGGCACATGCAAACTCACAATCTGCAGTTAAAAGAAGCTGTTTTGGCTTTCACTAAATAAACAATATATGGCAGGAAAGGTTCTGGTAGTTCTTTATTAAAAAAAAAAAAAAAAAAAGTGTGGGGGGGTTTTTTTTTTTTTTTTTTTTTTACAATTTCTTATCCCTAAAAATAAAAAAAATGAGAAGGAAGGTATCAACAGCAGAATTTAGAAAGTTTGGGGGAAAAAAAACTATTTACATCATTTGGACCAATTGTCATATTCATGACGTTTCAACCATTGTATGCTCCGGCCTTCTTCAGTTGATATACATTGAAATTTTGAAGTGAACCCTTCATTTAGCCCACGGAGGTAGATTGATTGTTGAGTTTAAAGGTATAACAACATTTGTTAGGTCATTTCATGCCTAATGAGATTTGATTGGACATTATGGTTTGGCCATCAGTTTGAACGATGTAAATAGTTAAAATACCTCATCGCAGAAATATAGATAGATTTTGAGAAAGAAAAAAAAAAGTCATAGAAGACTCGTTCATAGAAAAGTCGCTAACAAACATTATGTACATGCACTGAAAGCCCGAGGCCTTTGATGACTCAACAAGCTAAGCTAGGGGTGGGCAACCTTTGGCACATGTGCCAAATATGGCACACTGATGACTTGTTTCTGGCACACTGATGACTTATTCATTAGATTCCCTTTTTGATTTCCTTTTATTCTTTCTCCTCTTTCATGTGTATCATTATCTCATGTATTTTTTGTGCAGTATATCATGATATGAAAAGGATATTAAAGAATTTAAAGAATAATGAACTGAAAAATTTAGCATGATTAAAAAAGACAATAAAAGCTTATGCTTTTTCTGTTCTGAAACAATCGTTTGTAGGACTTCTTTTGTAAACAGACATTTTGAAAGTGTTCATAAGAACTTAAGCAATAAAACTGAGGAGGAACAAACAGAATTAATTTCTTGTGAACTGAGCAAGACAAAAAAACAGGTTGATACTTTTATGAACTTTATTTCAGGTAGGCTCAGTTTGAACTTAGTTTCTGCTAGCTTTGAGGTTTCAAAAGTTATTGCCCAACGTAGAAAGTCACTCAGTGATGGAGAGAGTATGTTAAAGAAGCTTGGCTAGAATGTGTGTCTTTCGTTTTTGACAGTTTTTCAGAAAAGGAAAAGATTATTCAGTGCATTAAAGATTTGTCTGTGAGTAGGAAAACAGTTAAGGATAGGGTACTTAAGTTGGAAAGGAATACAGCTGAACAACTGACAAAAGATTTGTCTTCATTATAATTTTGTTTTCTATTTGTGTTGATGAAAGTATGGACATTACATCATCAGCTAGGCTAGGCATATTTTCTCTATTTTGTAGGGATGATGAAGTATGAGATTAAGAAATACTAAACCTTGTAACACTACCTGGGGGTACTCCTGAGGCTGAAATATGTAAAGCAATTATGAATGAATTATCTACTCGACAAATTCACATTTCAAAAGTAGTATCTACCACAACAGATGGTGTCCCCAGCATGACTGATGAGAAGGCAGGATTTGTAAATCTGTTTGCAAAAGATGTTGGTCATCCACTGACAGGTTTTCATTGCATCATACATGAGGCGGCTTTATGTGCAAAAGCTGGCCTAAAAGAATTTCAGCAAGTGATGCAAACACTTACCAAGGTTGTTAATTACATTTCTGTCCAGGCTTTAAATAAAAGACAATTTCAAATTTTCTTGAATGAGGTAGAGTCTGTACATAAAGGACTAAAAATGTACAACAATGTTCGTTGGCTTAGCCATGGTTTGCTTCTGAAACGATTTGTTTGAATGCTTAGATGAGATAAAGCTCTTTTTGAATGACCAACAAGTGTCTTACCAAGAATTGTCTAACATTGTGTGGGTTTGTAAACAGATGTTTTTTTTGCAGATTTTTGTGAACATTTAAATGACTTGAATATTAAATTACAGGGCTTCAGTAAAACACTTGATGCTATGTTTGGTTACTTAAAGGCTTTTTAAATGAAACTAGAAGTTTTTAAGAGGGGTATAGATTATGAGAGATTTAAATGCTTCCAAAACCTAAAAAGGTACATCAATGATCTCCCAAAATGTGGCAGAATAAACCAATGTCTTCAAAAGTTCTTTGTAAACATCGTCGAATCAATTGTTGAGCAATTCTTTACAATATTTATACATGAAGAGAACTAGAAGAGAGACAGCAAAATTCATTAAAGTTCCAGACAGTATCAAACTGGATGAATTCAATTTGCAAATGTTTTCATAGATAGACATCGATGATTTCCAAATGCAGTTGATTGAATTTCAGAGTAGCTCAATTTCGAAGCAGAAATTTGTTGAACTTAAAGTTGACTTGGAAAATATTGAAAAGAAGTGATAAGAGATGGGAGTATCAGAGAGAAATGCAGAAAACAATGTATTAAGGACTTGGAAAAACCATCCCAGAAAATTGTATATGTTTAAAAAAAAAACAAAAAAACTTGCAACAGCATTACTATCCATGTTTTCATTTACATATGCTTGTGAATCTTTGTTCTCAGTAATGAACTTTGTTAAGCCTCATAACAGGAGTAGCTTGACTGATGAAACTAGTAGTGCATGCATATCTCTCATGGTTACTAAATATAAACCAGATATAAAATCAGTAGCAGAAGTCTTACTGATAATATATAAAAAGAATCAATAAGTTTTCTATCTCTAGTTTTATCTGATGTTTTCTTCTGAAAGTGGCAAAGGTTCAGGGCTGTTTAAATGTAGTTTTGAAAGTATATATATATATATATATATATATATATATATATATATATATATATATATATATATATTTATTTAATACATCATTTATGAAGGGATTTAAAATCAGAAAAGATTATTTTTAATAACCTGTCCCTGTGTTTTAATCATAAAATGTATAACTGGAAAAAAAAAAAATGATGATTGATTACTTGAAAAAAAATAAAAATAAGTGTTAACTTTTTGTGTTGATGCTAATAATAGTTGTGTCTTTAAATTGTATGAGTATGTATTGCAGTTACATTTATACTGATAGGCTAATAAAACAATATCACAAAAAATTTTTTTTTATAAAAACCTGTCATAATATTTTTTTTTTTCATTCAGTTTTACATAATTTCTTACAATACCGTATCTTTGCAGCTCTGGTGCAATTTTTTATCATTTAAAAATGTTCTTCACATACTTAAGAGATATCAAATATAACGTTCTCAAGATATTTTTGTTGGCATGTGGAAAAACTTTGTGTCAGAGATTTGGCCAGTGTTGGCACACTCTCTCAAAAAAGGTTACCCACCCCTGAGCTAAGAAGACTGGTGGCGCTTATGACATGCATTGTTTTTTTTTGGGGGGGGGGGGATTCATATCAAGAAAAAGGTCGAAATAGGATGTGCTATAGAGTACTGATGAACTGTTATGTAATCCCTTCTATATAGGAGTGAATGTGCCAGAGGTGTCCACTAAAAACAACATTTATTGGTGTTCTCTTTCCATTTTTAATTTCCATAATGAAAGGAGAAAAAAGAACACCAATACTAAGAATGGGATATCATAAAGATGAAGAAAAAAAAACAGTAGTAAAAATTGCAATCTGTGGATGGAGGAAAAGCTAAAAAATCGACACATGGCACAGTGGATAAAGGCGTTAGTTAGATCCAGTGAGAGGACCCAAAGAGTTGTGAGTTCAATACCCAGTTAAGGCAGTGGAGAACTTTCAGAGGGAAATTAACAGGAGATAACCGATAACTGACATCCATTAAACATGGCACGTATAACTAGAACAGTCTACCCCAGGGAGCGATATAAAGGGTTAAGTTCGACATTCCAACCACCTGAAGAAGGTTGGAGCGTATAATGGCCGAAACATTGTAATAAATATGGCAACAAAGATGAGGACAATAGTCCAAATAATGTAAATAGTGTACATAATACATCATCTCAGAAATATAGACAGATACTAAAGGGCCGAAACGTTGTAATGAATATGGTGACAAAGATGAGGACAATAGTCCGAATAATGTAAATAGTGTACATAATATCTCATCTCAGAAATATAGACAGACAGTGAATGGATTAATAAACAAAAGAAACTGAAATTATTTCAAAATGGCAGAACACTGATGCATTCCTTTTGAAAGACAGGCAAACCAATGATAAACACCCATTTTGAAAAATCACACTACATGAAATGTTCAGTTAAGGAGTAGATTATCAAAAAAATGTTATATAAGGGGAGGTAGAGAGAGAGTGAGAGAACATCCAGTTCTCACACTGAGCTTATGTAAGTACTTGATAAATGTAGAGTCAGGTGCAGCTTCAGTCAGTTATGTGCTGTATGTGATACATGCTTAGGTGATCATGTCTCTTTCGATACATGACCGATGAGACAGATTTTTTCCAGCAGTAGGTTGCCATTTCTTTCTGCAGTAGACCAGTTGCCACCCAAGGCTATAGAACCCGATCTGTCCTGCTACTTACCCATAGCTGAGGAAGGAGGAGAAGAGGTTCAGCTTAGTTGTCCAAATAAAAAAAAAAAATGTATATTTTATTATTTGGGGTTAAAAGTTCACTTACCCTTTCTGCCCAAGATACAGATGTAACAGAATCTCCATCATTTGCTAAATCACAGAGACGTGTAACCTGAAAAATAAATTATATATATATGTACACATATACACACTCATTATATATATATATATATATATATATATATATATATGAGAGAGAGAGAGAGAGAGAGTGTGTTAACTGATAACAATACATTCATTATGCCTCATTTTCAAAGCCATTTAAATTCAACTTTCAAATATCCTTTAGAAAAGAGTTGTATATTTCAGGTCAGCCCAGTGAACGTAAGGGCCAAAATAAGGCATTAAGTGTCTTTTAAGTTGAAAAAGTTTCATTATATAAACAATGGCTCTATTCTGTCAGTAAAATTTGCCTTAATTGCTGCCTAACAATTCTACCCCCACTGCCAACACTTTTTTTTTTTTTTAATTTTCAATTCACAAAATAGACTGAGTTACACTCAGTAAAAAAAAAAAAATCTGGCTTTTAATAAAGAATTTGTTTTTTTTTTCTCTTACCACCAGAAATATTTAGTTGATTAATATAGAAAATGACCAAAGTTGGAAGTTGGTGGAGGAATGGTAAATACAGTGTACAGGGATAGGAAAAACCTTGTTGAAAGGAAGTAAGAATAATTATAAGCATCCCACCACACACAAATAAAAGTCAGAATGTACTTTGTTGCATATAAACAAGTTTTCAAATCAATTTTAGCCACCTGCTCCCATATAAGCAAATGCTGAAAAAGCCATCACGAGATCCAACAAGCTTTTAACTGACCTGCCATTGACTATTGCTTGATTGGCAACACCCTTCAAGTAAGTTAAAAGCATGATGGATCTTACAATAGTTTCTCCTGCAAAGGGGGATTCTCAATGGTATTCTGCTAGAGGATGTATCTTTTTCTTTAATAAGATTTATACTGTTTAAAGTGATATATATATATAGTGTCTCAAAAAACATATTCTTTAAATGACAATAAATGCAGCATTTATTGACTTGCAAACAAGATTAATGGTTAAAATTAAGAAATAATAATGTTTATTGACTTAACAAAGGAGATTAACAGTTTAAATTAAATATTAAATGAAATTAAATATTGGATATAAAAAAAAAAATTCAAAAAAATTATAGGAAGTCAAATGAGTACATTTTTTGGGACACCCAGTGTGTGTGTGTGTGTGTGTATATATATATATATATATATATATATATATATATTACAATGAATCATTCATACAAAAAGTAGATTAGTAAAGTTAATGATATAAAATGAGGAAATCCCTTCGCTAACAAAATTTTAAAGGTGCATTAACCTACAAATCACCTGAATAACCTGAATGTTATGACCCTTGTCATTAAAAATTATAAGCTGTATAAGGTCTTTCTTTAATACGCAAGTACTTTCAACTGTATATTCAGTCATCTTCAAGCATGGAAATTATTTCGTTTTTGGTAAAATTCAAGTAGCATCCAAGACGAAAAAATATAGTACGAATCGAAATATGTTATTGTTAATGGATACAAACTTTTGGAGCGTGCAGTCACAACGCTAAGGTTGAATTTTTTTGAAAATCTAAGAAAGTGTGTTTTTTACTAATATGGCAATTTGAATATATATATATATATATATATATATATATATATATATATATATATATATATATATATAAATAAATAAAAAATAAAGTAAGTTCGTTCACTGTTTCATGTGAGACAATTTTTCTCTCCAGAATCTATCATACATATCTATAAGCCTGCTATTCATCCATGCTTAGAATATTGCTGTTACATATGGTCCAGTGTTCCCCACTATATTAGCAATATTATCAGTCCTGATCTGGCAGCTTGGCTTCAGTCACTTTCCCATAAATACTTTTGCGGTAATTTTTCAGATGAGCTCTTTGCTATGGTTGCTAAACTCTTTGAATTTAAGTGGTTTTAGTGCTTTGCTTGGGGTGAATTAACCAAAAAAAAAAAAAAAAAAAAAAAAAAAAAAAAAAAACTCCTAATCTCCTGCAGCACAGTAACACCCATGAAGTTCAAAACCCCATTAATTTTTTTTTTTTTTTATTTTAAAATCAATAAAACACCATTTTAAATTGAAACATATTCTGAAAACAAACTTTTTAACTAACGCAGCCATTGTGATAGTCTGAAAAGTAGCTATCCAGAATAAACATTTATATAGACATACTAAGCGACTGAACCTATTATTTTTACTTTGACTGTGTACACTAAGGTAAATAGCATGACGGTTTTGGAAGTTAATTTTTCTTGTTGACTATGTGTCACCCCCACCCTTAAGCTAAAGTACTTTGCTCACACAAGGGAAAGCAGTTCCTTTAATACATTCATTATGCAGAACTTGCATCCAGTCTAGAAAAGCATTACACTTCAAATGCAAAAACCCACTGCCAGGCATGTCAGCATTGAACCAACTTCAGAAATTCACTTCCATCAAATTCAACAACTTTTTTTTGCATCACCCTGACTCAATGTAGATATTCACTTTCAAATGGAATCTTCAGTTAAAACTGAAGATATGCAGTCTTTCAAGTTGACAATATAAAGGAAAACATGTACGGAATTTGTTATGATCAAACTTAACAAAAGAGGAAATATAAAAATAAAAAATCATGTTTTCGTTTAGATTTTAACTAGGCAAGAGGAAACCTCTGTAGCCTAAAGTAGGCATCCGTTTATCTCACAAAGATAAAGGAAGCACTCTGGTCAAAATTCAGTCTTTTGTGGGTGAGACTGGGTGATGGTATATGCAGGCCGTGCATTGCCCAGACTACATGCCCCCCCACCCCCGTGCCAACAAGATCCAAGAAACACAGGGCATTACATCTGGGGGGGGTGGCTTGGCTGCAGGAGTTGTTGGAAAGTTGTCACAGTTAACAGCCAACTACATTTGGTGTGTCACTCTGGATTTTCTGTCTGGATTTACTTTAATTTCCCTTTTTTTGTGTTTGGTTGGATACGACAGTAAAATAGCAGAGGTCTAAAAAAACAAGGTTTTTCTTTCTCCTAGACTGCCTTCCTTGGCTGTCAAACTATCTACCTACCCAAAACAGCTGGTTATGAGAAGCCAGTTTTCTGTCTTGGAACTAGACTTAGTTGTCAAAGCTATTTGAGACACACACCAGGGACGCATTTTATAGACAGTGGGAGTTTGTCCACACTATCACTCCTTGCTATGACAATGTTCGAGACATATAATGCAGCCTAAAGATAAGACTAATATAAAAAGAAATTATATCAAAAGCAATTCTCAGCTTGTCGACAGATCTTGTAATTCAACTATTTGCTGTAAACACTTTCAAATTATTAATTTCACACCAAATAATAGCAATGACATATTTTGACGAATGACTTGCCAAGTAGAACAACATTTAAAATCTGTGAACAAATACAAAATAATTCAGCAGCAAAAGTTCTTAATTAGCAAGAAAGTAATAAGTGTCACAAATAGGGCAATTAAAAACAATTTTGAAATGAAAAGTTAAAACTGAAAGAATTCTATCAATAGTAAAAATGTATTCTGGAAGTTTAAAAATTTATGAAGTACTTTGCTTGATGACCAATGATTGGATAAGATTTCTAGTTAAGATTAAAAAAAAAAGAAAATAAAAGGTTTGAAAATTTTATGGGTTACTTTTACAGAAATTTAAGAGACAAAGCTATAAATGTTAAAAAGACTTGATTTTAAACAAAGGCTGTTATAGTGTTACAGAGTTATCTACCTTGATATAGTTGTTTATTGAAAACAAAAAATTATTTTTCATGATCAATAGACAAAAAAAAAAAATATCACCATTTTTTTTTCTAGGATAGCAGTTCTAAAACAATTCTGGTCTTGGAAACTTTTACTCATAAAAAATTATCAAACATCTCCAAATGTTGATTATAATGACTAGTATTTGTTATGTTAAAAACAAAATGTATAATCAACTATGTATGATGGAAGAGTTGAGAAAATAATTCAACTTTGTATTTCATTGTTGGTTGTTGGAAGGGTCAAGTACAAAACTGAGAAAGTTGTCTTCTTTTCCTACATTGATCTATTATTGTTAATAAATCTGTTAAAAATATTAAATGTTGAGATATCTTAATACTTCATAAAAAAAATTTTTTTTAAATTTAAAAAACAATTTTTTTTTAAATTTTAAATAATTTTTTTTTTAAATTTAAGTGGGTTTTTTTTTTTTTTGGGGGTACATAAAAAAATTAAATTTAAAAAATCAAAAAAAAATCACACAACCACAAACAAAGACTAAAGAAACATGTGGCAAAATATAAACACTAAATCTCCCTGATTCATACCTCCTTTCAGATGCATTAGTCCATATCGGGAGCCAGTAATTTACCCTAAAAAATTTCCTCTTGTAGCCCACACCTAATTTTCTGTGAGCAATGTGGCCCTTCTTATATTTTAATTGTGTAGGCGAGCCTTGCAGCAAATATTGAGATGAAAAAAAAAAAAAAAAAAAAAAAAAAAAAACAATGTCACAAAGATATAGATTTAAGAATTGTAATTCTTCTAATGTCTTGCAAGTGTTAAACTGTCAGATGTTGAGTAAACTGTACATGTGCAAGACAGATGTATTTCTCTTATGCAAGTCTATCCCATTGACATTTGTCAGTCTTTTGTTCTCTCTTCTAAACCTGCAGACCAAATAGAAAATGACACAAACTCATCTGTGCCCCCTACGAGTAGAACACTGACAGGCAAATGGATGGTAATTGCATATCATTTCTGAGAATAGGCTATAAAAAGAAATTTAAATGAAGAAATATAAGCAGGCTATAAAAAAATGACATCCTTATCACATCAAGATCTCAAAAAGCAGAGACTGATGGTTGTTTATGCAAAAGAAAGAAAAAAAAAAAAAAAAAAAAAGTTTGCAGAGTCCTCGTATTTATGAGAATGGATAGAAAGATTTGCCTGTAGAACAACCAATTCTACAGAATATTACAAGAGACTTCTGGCAACAAGTACATCTTTGGGACAAAACCATTCTTTCAGATATGGGTATGTGGTTGGGTAGCAACTGATGGACATAAAAAATTAAAAAAAACCTTTGCAGAGTAGAGTTAACACAATGTTTGACTCACATTTTAAGGAAGGAGAATGAGCAAAAATAAAAACAAAATGGAGATTTTAAAAAACAGCAAATCTTTTTTCAAGGTGAAAAGATGTAAAAAAACAAAAAAAACAACTAACAAAAATAATTTGCAAAAAATTCATTTTTCATTTTGGGATGACTTGATGTCACTTTTAATGACATTGAAAAAAAAAAAAAAAGAAAAGCAAATAAGTTAAAAATATATAAGAATTAACCAAAGATAAAAACAAAAAGTGTAATGTAAAAACAAAATGAAAAAAAGTAAAAAATAAAAACAAAATAAAATAAAAAAAAAAGAACACGTTTCCCAAATTAACGAAATTGTAATTCAAAAAATTAAGTTAAAAAATGGTAGCGAGAAAACATGTATCATGCATCTTTTTATTTTGTGTCTAAAAGCACATCAATTTTCCTTGAACTGTGTCAGTGGAATATCAAAGGAAATTGTGTAAGAAAATAAATGGGAGTTCATGAAAGTAATTCAAGGCCAAAGCCATTAGTGTCAGAGTTGATTATTGTTACCAGCTGATCAGAAAGCAAAAAAAAAAAAAATGAAGTTAGAAATGAACAGAGGTAACTGGCACATAATGCAGCACACTGTGCAACACTGCAAGTGCACTGGTATAAGGAAAGGGTTACAATTCATAGACACTTACACAAGACAGCTTAGATATACAGGCGCACCCTCCGTTGCTATTTAGGACAGGCAAATGGACAGAGGTAATAAATTATCCCCAGGGGCAAAGTATCTACCCGACTTTTTAACATACCCTCACTGTCTTCAAATACACAGCTGATCCACAAATGGCATTTTACTCTTTACTATAAGCTCAGAATGCCATTTCTTAATTAGTTTATAGAGAGACATTTTGAAGCATTTTCTAACAGGTTAATAGTTGTTTTATTGATTTGAGTATATTTAATGGTAATATTAGCCATTCAAAATTCATTGACTAAGGAGCACAGTTGAAAGTTTAGCATTATAACCAATTGGATCCTGACCTTTCTCCTGTCACAACAGATGGTTGAACTCTTGAAAAGGCCCTGTACTTTGAACATCTATTTGGACTCAAGTTAACTCCAGAGCTTAAGTGGAACTCGTATATATGATCCATCGCTGAAGATAAATGGTCAGTTTATTGTACTGTCCCAAAAGTATCACTCCTCCTGCCATGCTTTATCTTTACAAAAGTCAAATTAGACCAAATATAGAATACTTATGCCATGACTGTGCTGGAGCTAACCAATCTTCCCTTTCCAGCCTTGACAGAGTTCAAAATCATTTACACAGTGTTGTAGGGGGATGATTTATTTTCCACTCTACTGCCTCTTTCTTCACAGACACAATATTAATACTCTATCACTCTTTCCTTGATACATGTTCAGATGAGCTCCACTCTTTGCTTCTACCAATTCAGACCTTTACAGATAGGACACACCATGCTACATCCATGGAGTCAAATCACTCATATTTCCTCCGTACTCCATTTGTAAGGAGGAAGTTCCACCCATACAGTTTTTTTCTTGCTACTTTGTGAAACAAACACCAACATAGATGCTTTTCATGGACAATGCAATCTGAGTCGCTTCAAATCAAGGGTCAAATGCTATCTACTCTCATTATCATCATACTTTTCACTTGCTATCACGTACTCTTTCATTCATATCATACACCATTCAGTAACCCCTACCAGGAGTGGCTCTTGAGCCGTGTGCTAGGTGAAATTTAGTGAAAATGAAAAACACTTTCTTAATAATCATTGTATTAGTTTTTGTATTTTTAATGTAATTGTTACTGACACAGTATAAATCTCTTCGAACCAGTGAGAAGACAAAAAAAAAAAGACAAAAATGAAAAATAAGGCATAATAAAAAGTATCTTAAAAGTAGGAAGAGCGTAGTAAACAGAAAAAAAAAAAAAAAAGAAAGAAAACTAAAACAGATCAACTTACCTGACTGGTACAAGCACTCCAAAGATAAACACAAGTTCCCAATCCAACACTTAAGACATTCTGGGAAGACCAGTCAACCAAATTTAAGTAAAAATCATCTTGTAATTCTGGGGCATCTAGCACTTTGAAGGGAATTTTTGAAATTTTCCTCATTGCCTTTGAAGAGAACAAAAGAGATGGATAAACACAGCTAATCTCTCATTAACAAAAACAAGATTAACAGAGTGAAACAGAGTCTATACTGTTGACAATATTCAGTGTTTAAAACATATGTACACAGTAATATACAAACAGCTACTGGAAAGATTTTCATTACCAAATATAGTCAGACCCTATTTTTATTTTGGAATGATTTCTTGGTTAAATGAAGAACTTGTCAGTACTCAATCACAGAATAAAAATATAGCTGGCAGTATGGACCAATTTTTAGATATGCCTTTACTTATCCATAGCTAATTTATCTATCAATTTCCTCTAATATCTTTTATAGAGTTTATGAAATTATTTGACAAGATATTAAAATATCAAGATAATATTATCAAACAATTTTAATCCAATAAACTTGGGTGATATGAACTATGCAAAAATTTTCATTTTCAGGATTATAACAGGAGTGAATTGATAATCTAACAGAAAAGTTGTCAGAAACAAATTCTAACATGTATTGTAGCCTTGAAGAGTACACAATGGAAATTATTAGGAAAGCTGATTATTTTGTTCCGATTAAAAATAAAACTGGTTCAGTCAATGAAAGACAATCTAAAAATATAACATAACACTCTAAACTTCTAAACTAATTCTTTTAGCATTTGATAAACAAGAAAAACATTCCAAATATCTAGAAAAGTCACAAAAATTTACAGTTTTCTTAAAGAATTCTCCAAGTCAAAGCTGAGGGTATCACTCTGAATAAATTGGTCCTATGAAATAAGCGGTAAATATTTACCTTGCGGGGGGAGCGCAGCAATTTCTGGCTTTTACTGCCAACAGGAGATAAAGAATAGGGAGATGAATCAGCAGCATCAGGACTTCGCCTAGGAACATAATACTAAAAAGGGAAAAAGACGAACGAGTTAACAAAGTCAAAATGCAGAAAATGCCTCCCTATACACCAGTAATACTATCTTATTCTGCGAAAGTCTCTTTAAGCCAGAGATTAAAATAAAATTAGACTACAGGTGGAATATATAATTTCTTAAATATTTTTATATGTTTATGTTAAATTTGTAACCTGTAGGTGATATTACTTGCTTTGTCTAATTATTCTTGATTACACATCAGTTCTCTTATAAATGCCCTCGTTTTTAGTTGGCGCCTCCCCACCCTTTTTTTTTTACTGCCTCTCTCTCTCATCTTTTGTCTTGTATACATAAGGTTAGTAATACAAAGCAGATGGAAAATTTTCACATATACATCGGCAGTATGAATTGGCTGGATTTTAAGTTTAGATCATATCGTTTTTTTATTGTGCATAGTGTCACCACAAATGTATCCACCAGTGTCTGTTATTTAATTTTAGGTCAGCGAATCAGTAGCGATTTATACATCTGAAAATAATTCATATTTATCTGTATCTTACTCATTTAAACCGTTATTTAATTCCTCTCTTTAAAACTTCTGTTAAATTTTAATCCCCCACTTTCACCTTTAGGCCTTCCTGTTTTTCTTTCTTCTGTTACACCCTCTCTCTAGAGCTTTCAGACATTTCCCTCTCATACTTTTTCCCACTCCCAGACATACACACTCACTAAAATTTTGTTTTTTATACCCAGAGTTATATTTTCTGATTTCTTTTTGAATTTGTAGGTCTGATGAATTGGATCGTGATTATGATTCCAATGTAATAAATTATAACCATGGAATATTAGTGTTTGAGCCTTTTATATTATATTCTTACTCTGGACATTGAGTTCTACCTGGATTCTATCCTCTTGGGAATTTATATATATATGTGTGTGTGTGTGTGTGTGTGTGTGTGTGTGTGTGCATGGAACAAAGCTACAGAATTGTAGAAAAATGCTATAGATTTAAGTAGTCACCAGATCACATAGAAACTCATTTTTTTTGTAAACTGACTGGCTCCAATAATTTGAATTTTTGTATTCGTATATATATTAGTCAATCAGTGGTGTCACATGAGACAAACAGTTTTCTTTGAATTTGCAGATGTGTAAAATGAGGATCACCTCAGAATATGTGCAACAATATTCTCCCTTATAAAAAAGGATATTTAAAAATTCGGAAAATATTCATTAACCAATAAACTCGAGATTCAGTCAGTTATGTGCCATGCATGGATACACACTTAGGCGATCATGTATCATTCGATACATGACTGACGAGGCAGATTTTTTCCTGCAGTAGGTTGCCATTTCTTTCTGCGGTAGACCAGTTGTCATCCCAGGCTACAGAACCGGGTCTGTCCTGCTATTTACCCATAGCTAGGGGGAGAGCCAATGTATCTTCATAAAAAATATCAATTTTAGTTTGCTAATTTAATCTTTCAGTTAACCTTGGTCAGGAGCTTGTTATACAAACAAAACTGAAACTCTCACATTTCTTGCATATTTATTTGAGTATATATTACAAAGAAAATGCTTAGCAATAGTGATGCATAAAAAAAAAAAACAAACATGCAGACTGTTTGTTTACGAGCATCAACAGTAGCAATCTAGTTTCCGTGTATTTCATGTGGCTGACAACTACAATTTATACGTATAGATAAAACAACATACGTCCATGTCATATACATTCTCACATGTATATGCATTTTCTGTTTCTTCAAAACTAACACAACTCATTTGATTGTACTGTACAAAAAAAGATACACAAAATATTTTGTGTGAAGTTATTCGCAAAGAATGTTTCTAATTTATTTCTTTCAATTTGAAAGAAAAATAATACTCAAATAATAAAAAAAATTATTTAAATTTGAAGAGCCATGTTGAAGATTTGCTTATTTCTTCACTTTATACATGCATAATCCACTATTTGTAGGATTTTCAAATATCAACTTTGATAATGGCCTTCAGTATTAGAATATGCTGGCACGCGTATATACGTGAATTTTATCATGATTGCCACTATTCTGAGCTGAACACGAGGATAGAATACAAATAGGCGAATATACCTTTTGCACACCTGAATATTAAAGAAGACATTAAAACAGATCAGTTCGTTCCATTTGTCACCTATTTACACATTCCCATTTCAAGACAATATTATAGAACTTACAAATTTAAAAATAATTTTATAGATGTAATAGAAAATGTTAAAGCTGAGCGTCATTTCTGAAAATAATCGTTCAACTGCAGGTTAAATCAGACGAGTTTTTCTGATGCACAAATTTCTAGTTGTAGTCATTTAATTGTAACAAAACAACTTTCTAGTTGCGTTATACAGAATTTACGTTAAAATATTCCAAGTGTGGGGAGGAAATCTAAAATAGCTCACCTTAAAGAGATTGCGACTCTCTTTAGGCACTAGTATCCTTCTGTCATCTGGTTGCTGGTCCTGAAGCGGAAACACATACAAACATTTTAAAACAGTTTTTGCAAAAGCAATTTATTAAATCAGTGTTTCTTAAATATCTTGGGACAGGATGTGGGGGTAATCAATTTTGAACAACGAATCAGAGTGAGGGGGCTGGTCACCCTCGGGATGGAAACAATTTCACTGCTTCTTATTTTAGTTTTATTCAATAAGCTTTACTGAATTTTACTTTAAAAAAAGAAAATAGATAAAAAATAATTTTTAAATTGATATTATCATGTCAATCAGAGAAAAAAGGACACTGCATGTAAATGTATGTTTTGCTTTCTAACTAATGCACACAAAGCACCTGGTGAGGTTTGTGCAATCAAATTGTTCTACAGGGTTGGGTGATTGCCCCCACACTCAACCTCTGTAATCTCAGAAAAGGTTGTTGTTCTGTAAAGGATTTTTCTTTCCCCTTAGATGGCTGCATGTTCCCATACTAATTCCGTTGGGGGATAGAGCAACAGCCACACCATGCAAAGTGCTGTTCTGGTTTCTGTACCATGTAGATTTTTACTTAGTGGTTTCGTTGTTTCATTTAGTGACATATCAACACCTCTATGGGTTATATAATTCCGAAATCTAAATATTTTGTACATAATTTCATACATTCAAGGTAAATGTATGCTTTATATTAGGTTGATGCAAAAATAATGACGTAATAATGTCGTTTTTTGACATATTTTTTAACGTCAAAAAACGACATTATTACGTCATTATTTTTGCGCCAACCTAATAGATATATAGTTTATAGATTATCTATTGTAGGTGTTGTTTTGGTATATTTCTTTAAAGGTAGGATATTATGTTGAGTATTTTCGCATGTTTTCCTTGTAGTATTTATATCTTATGGAGCTGAGTGAGTATTATTCAGTTAAAACAGTGATTCTTAACTGCTGTACAATGGCACAATGTGTGCTACACGATTCTCTTAAGTGTGTCGCAAAATATTTTCACAGCATACATATGTGTGTGAGTAGTAATAGTACAGCATTAGTATTTGAATAAATGAATAAATATTAAATATATTTTCAAATAATTCTTTTCACTTATTCGATTATGTTTAAATATATTGTTTTAATATTCATTAAGAAGAAATGAGAGCCTGCTTATCGCGCATTCAACCAAACAAAAAAAAAAAAAAAAAAAAAAAATCAAGGAAAAAGACCAAGCACAGGTTTCACACTAAATAAGCTGCACAAATAATTAAATAGAAACATTGAAATAAAGTAAGTTCATATTTTTGTGTGTGTTTTTAAACCTATGATTTTATTTTATAACATTTAAATGGATACCTTTTCAAAATTTTTCCAAGTATGCCGTGATATTTTCATTTGCTCCTAGGTGTGCTGTTGCTTAAAAAAGTTGAGAAACACTGTTAAAATGTGTTTTGCCATGATTTTCACAGAGTGGAATTGCTAGCACCATGTCCAACTGGTTTTGAATTCAGAGTTGATGCTCTCCTAGACTGGTTGCCAACCAAGGATAGTGAGCCTATCTTGTCCTGCTATTAAACCCTAGCTGGAAGAGATGTTCATATATCTTTCCAAGGGTATGTGCATGAAAATGAACACTACAAATTTGGTCAGAATTTGAACTCGGCATCTTCCATGACAATAATCGCTATGCTACACCCACTGAAAATGGAGGTAGGTGGCATAAAGAACCTGAAGCTGAGGAGTAATAGCTTAGACATTGGGCAATTTCAGATTCTTTACTAGCCTAGTCTTCCAAATGTGGAAGAAAGAGTTGATCAGAACCCCAAAAAAGCAACGTTTTTCATCTTGTCAAAAACCAGTAAACAGCCATCTTGTGGCCTGTAAATGGATATAGCAACGTACAATCTATTCCCGATCATGAAACCATTTTTTTGGAAGAGCCTACCTTGATATCTTCAATACCAGCAGCTAAGAGTTCATTCTTCAAGAGACATGTGTAGGCAAGTCCATCTTTGCCCCCATCTGTGTTAGCTTCTTTGGCCTTACGTGTCTGGTTGACAGAAGGTGGAGTTTCCTGAAAAAGCATAAAAGAGGAAAAAACAAACTGTAGGAACTTTAAGACAACCTATAAGACATATTTGTCAAGATGGTAAATTTAACAGGTCGGTAAAATCCAGAAATGTAAACCTTAAGAGAAATTGACAAGGCACCTGCAGCTATGTGCATCTTGATTAACCAACCAACCAAAACCTGCAGCATTTCAAGTTTATACAACTAGGAATTTATAATTGTTTTATGTAATAAAATGAACATGTTGATACAAGGATGGTGAATTCCAAGTGATGGTTAAAAAAATTAAAAAAAATAATTATCACAATTTTATTTACAATTCTTCAAAGACAATAGAGAACACATTATTGTAGTCTTTATTTTATCAAAAGACCAATCATCATACTAGTGTTGGGGTGGTCAAACTAAAAGCCGACTGATAGTTTCATACAGCCTGCAAGAGCACAACAAACATTTTATTTTAAATATCCATTAATAGACTTTGATATTCTAGTGTTAGATGTTGTGCAAAATAATCTATTCAAAATAAGAACAAAGACGATAAAAACACAAACCATACATATTCAATAGAAAACCCCAATCATCAAGATACTCATTTGCTACAAAATCGACATATCGTATTATGTACTACCAATGGGACACCTGCTTGCTACATCCCATGCTTCACCAATGTCAGTGCTCAATCATCAGCACTGTGTAATCTAAGAGCCTGTGCGTATAATGGATGTCATTTCTGCATTTTGCTATAAGCATCTCATGAGGTTTATTGAGAATTTCTTCTTGTAAAATATTTTTTCTCAGAGACACAAATCTCATTAATAGTAACAAACATATCAAATATCAAACTAATTGGGAGGGAACATTTCATCACTGCCGACAACACTGGCCCAACGCCTCTCCATGTCAACTCCCCACCAATCTACTCAATACAAGGACAACTCAATGCTGGTGTCAAATTCATAGCTTCACTAGTGCTTCATTTTCAAACGTTTAATCATGCTGAAAATGGAAATTCTTAGTCAAAGAAAAGAGGAAAGGAAAATTTGCACATGATGACCATTTATTTGTATTTGATAAATTTAGTAAAAGAGACAGCAACATAAAACTTTGGCATTGTGACCAAGGCTCTCGGTGCAATGCAAAGATTCATACAATGTTTGGAGCAGTTACCAAGGAAGTAAACAAACATTCCCACAATTCATCAGTGGTCAATGTAGAATTTAAAAATGATCTTTAATAAATTACTTTTATTCGGTTTTAAAAAGTATTAAAAATTTCATAATTTGCATGCTGTTGAGTTGTCACAGAGATTAATTGGGTGGTGTTAAGTCTAATGTCTCATAGATTTATGCAGTCTGTTCACAATAAGTTTCCAACAAGCAAAAAAAAATAAGACGAGAATGTATAACTTATTTATATTGCCGTTACAAAACTAGACTTTTTATTGTGATGCAATTCTTCATATATAAAAAAAAAAAAGTTCCCCCTCGCCTCTGTACTACAGCAAGGGAGTTCACTAAGATTACTAGGTAGATAATGCCTTGGGGTTTTAGAAATCATTCAAAACACTCTACAAATAAATGTCTTTAAGAGAAACCTGATTCTTTTAACTTGACTGGTTAAAATCTGAAATGACTTTTTTTCTTTCTTGAGATACTCTGATTAGGAATTTTAACCAATAATCAAATAAATTTAGATTTGAACTGGAGATTGGCCAAGAATTTAAGACACGATTCAAAGCAAAGAGAGAAATACAAAAAAAATAAAAGATTCTTAAAAATTAGTGATTAAATTCTGTGAAAGTAATAATCAAATAATTACACAATTCATGCAAATATTGTCAATCTATTTTATGTACAATCAAAGTCCAGTAATCCCTCGACTAGTGCAGCTAATGTCTACATTAAAAGAAACACACTAATCAAAAACGCATTAATTGAATATAATAATTTATAGGGAAGGATGTAATCTGTACCTTGGATTTTAGTCTCAGTCACAATTTCTAATCTGCATACTTTTTAATTAAAATATAGGTACATATAAGATATAATAAAAATGCTCTGAATTAATGTTTACTAATCTGATTTTTTATGAAAAACTTATTTAGAATGGTTTGCCCCATGGTATCCTTCTATTCTTCATATAATCGGCGGTACTGAGAAATTGTTCCTTCAAAATTTTCAAACATACCATAATCATTAGTATTTTAACCTGAAAATTTTATTTATAATTATTCCATAGCAAATGCAGACATCTTTTATATTTTGATATTTTTTAATAAATGCAAATTTCTATATCTAATTAAATCATCCATTTTTAACAACAAAAAAAAAAAAACAGATATTTCCTTTTAAGACCTTCAAGATAAACATGAAAAAAAAATCTATTCAAAAAATTTTAAGAGACAAATATTCAAATATATATTTTTATCAACTTATTTTATAAAACTTCTCTATTTATAACAGTCCATTTTTTAACACTACTCTAATTACTTAAATCATGTAATACTTGACAAACAAAATAGTTACCCATTTTAGATAATTTTTAATTAATCAGTAACTATATATAAAAAAAAAAAAAAAAAAAATCAATTTTCAATACGGTTAAACTGAAAAATATTTTACTGCACTAATCAAGTATTATGCATGTACTAATTGAATTTTGATAGAAAAAATTTTAGCACACTAATGGAAAACACATTAACTGAATACACATTAATAGAGAGATTCCTGTAGCTACAATCTTGAAATTCAAAAAAGGAGTCACTAAAAACAGAAAAATATGTTGAAATTTATTTTATTTCAAAGAAAACAGACATTTTGATTGTCAGAAAATTTTATTTTTTTTGTAACTTTCATTTTTAGTTAAGTAAACAACTTACTGAACTGACAAAGATAAAGTCAGTTACTAATTTCAACATATTTAAAATATTTACCACTTTAACCTCTCGTTTTAATCTTTACTTTGTTCATAATCCCCATTCATGTGAGTATGGTAGAGAGAAATTCACCTAGAAGAAATACCTATGTCCTACAATAAGTGTTTAAATTGGGATGGGGGGGTTTAAGTCTTTGATAAGCACAGTTACATGAAATTTGACATTAAAGACAGAGATGCACAAAAGGTGATGACAACTGAGACCATCCCAGAGAGAAGGGAGGTAACTTATTAAATCATGGCCTGTCAAGTTCTGAGGCATTCCAATGCCTGCTATAAATAGACGTGAATATGAAACCACCAGAACGAGTCCCTTTTATATAGCCATGATGTAACATCACACACAAACTATTAATAGCAATTATGTCAGAATTTGACAGAGATATTTCTCAGCTTAAAATAAGATTTTAATCTCATGGCCAGAGGATCCAGACAACTATATAAATACTGGTCCTTTCAGGCAAGCTTTTAACAAATAATACCCAATACTCTCAGTGATTTAAATGCCAATGTCTGTGTTTACTAAAAAAATAAATATGCATTTGTCCCTCACCATTTGATGCAACTGAGTTTCATGCACATTGCAATCATCAGGCAGAAATTAAAAACTGACTATTGTAATAACTCAATATTTATAACCTACTTGCAAGATAGTGGCACAGTCCATTTATATATGGAAAAAAATAAATTGGTAAAAAAAAAAAAGAAGAAAAGAAAATGAATTTATTAAATATATATCAGTAATAAATAACACTAAATATACACATACATATGAGTGGATGTAATCTCTGCAAAACTCATGGCAGAAACTAGATAAGTTAATATTTATCTATTACTATTAATGCAGAACCTCTTGATAGCAAACACCCTAATTACAAAAACTGCTTGCATTAAAAATGTCATCCTCCAGAAATCTTTTACTAACATCAATTGGTTAATATCAATTTTATTGACTTGCCTCATAAAATACAACACTGTTAGTTTTTATGATTCAGACAGTTAACTAAAAATATATGATGGAAGCAAATTCACTTCAGTCGATGGTCAAGTAAGCTTTTTGAGACATTACAGAAGCTGGCATCTGAATATTTGAATGTAAAACAAGTGATAAAAAAAAAAAAAACTGTTACTGGCATTAAAACAAACACCAATGGCAGAATGTGGAAAACTTTTATGGAAATGGCTATCAATTCGGAGGGACCCCCCCCCTACGAATTGATAGCCATTTCCATAAAAGCTAATGTGATTTTGGGAATATAAAAAATTCTTGTTCATATATTTTCATTTTGGTAATGAAAGTGGAGATGTAATCTTTTATAGGTGTGAAACAATAGTGCCATAATAAAAATAACTCAATTTAAGTCAACAAGCAGCCATACAAAAAGAGAAAAAAAGAAATCTGTCATGAGTATACTCTCAGGTTGAATTAAAAAAAAAAAAAAAAAAAAAAGAGATGCTTGACAATTTTTTTCATAATTTAATGAGCAAGGCAAGGATTTAACAAATCTGTGCAGGGTGTAGGATTAGTCTAGAATTTAGTTTATTTGAATGAAGAAATGGTTTTGTAAATAGAGCAAATTATTTAAAAGAGAGATAAAAGAAAATTTACTTCTATATCAAAATTTTTAACAACTAAAAAATATAAACCTTACAAAGCCCTTGTTTCTAATATTCTCCGTATATTAATCTTTCTGATATCCACAGATCATCGTTTGTCATTTGTTGTTTGTAGCCATGAATAAATGGCTAAGTTTCACCCTCGTCAGACACTGCATTCTGTCAAGCACAAATTTTGGTGGGGGAGTTTTGCCAGCACTATCTAATTCCCCCTTCAAGATATTCATAGCAATGTTCAACCATTTTCATAGTGAAAATAAATAGTTTGTCATTGTTCTTAGCGGCACTCCAGTTGGATAAATAAAGAGCAGCAAATCATAAAATATCCTTGTCAGAAAGACATCTTTCTTTCTTTTTTCCATTTCACATGCCAATGTGTTTTACTTTTTAATCACTCTTATTCCTGTTCATATTCAATTCTGAACAACTGCTGCAACGGATTGTTTTTCTCCAATCAAATATTGCTCACAATGACATCTGGATCCTGCTCTTTACACAGATTATCTTTTTTAAATAACAAGGAAAGACATTACATAACTAAAATATTATTTTAAATTATTAGGATTCAAATTAGTTTTTAGAATTTAAGGAACTATAAGGATATAGAATTTAAGGAATCTTAACGAATCATAAGATCCAAGAGTTCACAGTTAAGTAGATTGATTTGTAAATGTAACGGAAAAGCAAAATTGGAAAAAACAAGCCAATAATTAAAAGGAGATTAAAATAGATAAGAATGCACAAAAACCAGCCTTTACTAAGATGAAAGGGCAGGAAAAGCAGGCTATATAACATCTAACACAAAAAACCTATTTATTGAGGTGTTCAGAAAAATAATGGCTGATTTTATTACATTTGACTCTTATTGCAATATGTACACAACATTTCTTGTGTCTACATATATTTTTCCTCCTAAGATTATCTACTGTTCTCAAATGTTTCTCTCTTTCACAGATAATTTTAAACATTTAATAGCTTCATACTTCAGATGAAAATGAAAAAGTATTTTCTTGCACACGTTCAAATATGGCTCCAATGCCTCTCAGACTGTCTGTAATAACAAACAAACAAAGAGTGAACGTACTAATTCAAAATGTACAGTCTGAAAGGGCTGTCGAAAAGTTATCAGCCTTACCAAGAAGGGATTAAAAAGAAATGTTTTGAGATTTGGTCAGATTTTTGGGAAGTTGCTTGTGCTAAGAATTTTTCAGATCCACACCCAGTCGCTCATACAGTGTCAGTTTCTGAAGTTTCAAAACAGAGATGCGAGTTCAAGAGAATTATGAATACTCAATGAAAAGAATGGAAGAGAACTTTTATCAAACCATTCAAGAAAAAAGCTTACAGCTTAAAGCTTTCAATTTCTGAATATTCCAAACAAATTTATTATTTTTATTATTATTTAGTTGAGCTAGCTCAGACATTCACGAGTCTATCACACCAACCACCACAGTCTTGCATCAAGATCGGAAGGTCATAAAGATGGTATACTGTATCATAACATAGTTGGTCAATGCTGGATGACCAGAGCAGTAAGTCAGTTGCAAATTCTTGTTTTGCTCATCAACAGTGTCCTACAAAGCACATTCTGTACTCATGTAGAAATATCAAAGATGGGTAAGTTAGTTGGATTTTGCCTCCAAGAGATGCCAAGTATGGCTCTCAACATCTGGGTGTAGGTTCCATCAAGCTTAGACTCCAGGGTTTTAGTTAATGTCCAATCAGTGGTACCATACTTTAAAACTGCCTCTACAGTGACTCAAAAGAATCACCATTTGAGGTTGTCTGGTAGATCTGATTTCCAGTTAACATCCATTTTATTCAAGGCAGCCTAGGCTTTCGCTATGGGGATTTTCACATCCTTTTCGGTTGAATTTATTTCACTTCCTAGGTATATAAAAAATTCGACAGATTTCATTGATTCACCTGAGACAGGTCGTTCTGAGCTTTGCTCGTTGAATTCAGGTTTAGAAGTTTGAATGCTTCTAAAATTGCCCCTAAACAAATTGGAAGCATTCAAAATTTAAAAAAAAAAAAAAAAAAAAAAACAAATTGATAAGTAATATATGAGATAACAGATAATTTTTTTGTTTTTATTTAAATTCAAAAAAATAAATATAAAAAAAAATGATAAATTAACCTTTATCACTGCATGTGACTTTATTTGCTGTACAAAATGTTTATCCTGTCACTAAAGGTGACTAATTGGAACAATAGTTTCTTTGAATTTCAGTTGTGTTGTCATATCCTGCTATGGCAACAGAAAACAACTTTGAGTGAAATTAACTCTAGAACACTAACCATCAATTAAAGTTACACCACTACTAACCATGGGTATATCATACCCGATCTTGAAAATATCAAAAACAAATGTTAAATATAAATCTTTATTTGAAATATTTTACATGCAGGCACTTCAAACTTTGTACTTTGAGTTAACATTAATAGGAACTAAAAAACATTATTTAGGTAAGAAAATCAGGTACTGAAAATTGTAATTACAAATAGGAAAATTTGCACTGGGTACTATATACCTATGGTTAATGTTCTAGGGTTAACAGTAAGGATACAGCAATTGAGAGGCCTTGAAAAAGAATGCAGCAGAGTGGGGAGTAATATTAATAATGCAGAGTGGGGGGGAGGGGGAGTAATAATATAATGCAGAGTAATATTAATAATGCAGAGTGGGGGAGTAATATTAATAATGCAGAGTGGGGAGTAATATTAATAATGCAGAGTGGGGAGTAATATTAATAATGCAGAGTGGGGAGTAATATTAATAATGCAGAGTGGGGAGTAATATTAATAATGCAGAGTGGGGAGTAATATTAATAATGCAGAGTGGGGAGTAATAATAATAATAATGCAGAGTGGGGAGTAATATTAATAATGCAGAGTGGGGGGAGTAATATTAATAATGCAGAGTGGGGAGTAATATTAATAATGCAGAGTGGGGAGTAATATTAATAATGCAGAGTGGGGAGTAATATTAATAATGCAGAGTGCTAATGGTTAAAATAATTAGAAAATAAAACAATTTTTTTTTTCTTTTTTAATTCGTTTGCTGTTATCAGTGTGAAACAAAAATGATTCATTTCTTAATGAAATACTAAACAGCTATGAGAAATGTATGAAAATGATTTGCACAATGACTGACCTTGTAACAACAAAAGATTCTTGTCACTATGGGTCATAACAGTTTTCTCTTCCAAGGCTTAGCATAGACTGCCAAGATTTGGAAGAGAGGGTCAAAAAAAAAAAAAAAAAAAAAAAATCTTCAAATATAACCAGCGCATTATTCAATCAGAGAGAAATCCATTTTTGCACCCAGAAAATGCTTGTTTATGTTTCAGAAATGTTATTTGAACAGATCAATACTTCATCGATCATATTCTAAATAATTATTGGTTTTTATTTTAATCATATATTTGGACAAGTTTTTAAAAGTAAAAAAAAAAGATTTAATTCCAGGACAGAGAAAAGATTTAAGAATTTTTCAGCTTCGTTCCCAAAAAACATAAATGATCTTATTTCTCATAATCAAATATTTATAGAGTTCATATAGAAGTGGGTTGAAAAGGTTCTCAGCATGATACCCTTTTCTAAAATCTGAATTAAATAACACAACCGAAGTTGACAAGGGATAAAAATCAACCACATGAGCAAGTAGATTTTTTTTTTTTAAATCCATACTTGGTCAAAATTAACTTTTCAGCATCCTCCATGTGTCTAGATTGTTAATGCTAATTGTAAATAAATTCGATGACCATTCAGGTTAACATTTCAATTTGGTGATTATTTTTTGAAATTTGGACGCTTTCTTAGAACTTGGCAATAAAGATATTTATTTTTTTTTTTATTCAAATATTCTGGCTCTCAATGGTGGCCATAAGATATGCATTATTATGGCTCATAGTACAAGTGTAGGCATGGTTGGTTTTTATTATTAGTCATCAATCACCTACTTTGAATGGACTTAGAAATTTAAACGAACAATGGAGAAGACGACAATAGAGAAAATAACAAAAGGACTCTTACCTGAATCATATTAAAATTAACATGCCAATTTGAACCTGCCCGGCTCGGAATGAAACGATCTCCATATTTTTCTTTGCTTGGAGAAGCAGCTGGACTACTACCAGGAAGAGGCTGTAAAATCAAAGAGAGAGAGTTGAAACATTTGGCAGCTTGAAAAGAAATAGACGGGAGATATTTAATGAATGTCTTTAAGATTATAACAAAAGGAGATTCTTACAGAGAATTGATGACATTTTTGCATCTTTTTTTCTCTCTATGGATAATTTATTTTATTTTTGTCTATGCTAAACTATAAAAAGGCACAGTTTTGGTTGGAGATTTTATTTTTTCTCCATTTTTTTTTTTTTTTTGTTTTCAATTTTCAAAATGTTTCACTGATTTAATCAACTTTTTAGAACTCATGGGATAGCCAAAAAGCATTTTCCTTGCACCAAGATACTTCCTGACTCAGTGAGTAGAGAGGATATTAGAGAAGGCTCAGAGAATTAGATAAGTAATGTTACATATACAGGGTTTGGTTACAAGTGTTTCTACCTAAGACCCAGCTGTTTTCTCAATATGTGATGTCTGTCATTATGACTCTGTAATTCCCAGATTGGTCATACAAGTCCATATGAATATGAGAACCCAAAGTCACAACTTGTTCCCACCCACCCCTACAATTATTATTCTACATAACAAATTGCATTAGTTTTATTTCTGTTAATTTCATTTACTTGGGACTGCCATTCTTTTGTTTTATTATATATTTTTGTGATCATTAAACTTTAAGATTAAAATGCAAAATTAGGTTTCAATTTTAAAATTTTTTTTTTTCTGATTCTGAATTATTCAACTTGTAAAAAAAACTTTCTGATGAAACTAAATAATGAAACATGTTAAATTCATATAACAAATCATCTACAGGGTTCTTATTTAATCATTGTCATATTTAAGCCATATTTTTAGCTCATATTTTTAATCAATTCACCCCAAGTAAGGCAATAATGCCACAAAAACAGAAAGGGCTACTGGAAATGAAAAAAAAAAAAAAATGAAAGATTTTAGAAGGAACTGGAAATCCAATCCTAAACATGGATAAAAAATAAACCTCTATTCCTCTTCAAAAGACTGCTATTATATATATATATATATATATATATATATATATATATATATATATATATATATATATAGTGATTATTATGGCTAATAATGCAAGACTCTTTGGTAAATCAAATCAAGTTCGCTCAGTCACTGTGTGTTTATCTAAAAATAATTACACTTAAATTCACTTTCATCCCTGCCATGCACCAACGGCTTAGTAGTAGAAACCCCGACTGATGCCAATTCAGTCAAGTTTCGATCCTAACTAGAGGCAACCAGATGTCTAGCCACACTGATGAGCTGTGATACAGCAAAACAGTCTGTCTGTGCAGGACATATATATGTATATATATATGAAAATGTGAGTAATTTGATTTAAGCTACAGTCTTTGAAAACATACAAGACATCCAATCCATCCATTGACATTTAAGATAACAGTATTATGGAGTAGTTAGACGACCATGACTTGTACCTAACCTCTGTCAAAGATTATTATTCTTTTGTTTTTATTAATTTCTTCCCAAGCGAGACAATGATTTCACTATGACACAAGGGTTTACAGAGTTCAATTTCACGTATACGATATGGGAGATATTTTTGATTTTTGTAACTACACACATACACGGAGAGGAGATGCTGAAATTTGAATCTTTTAAATTTAAATTCTTGGTATAATTTTTTTTTAAATGCATTTGGATATAGAGTCTAGCCAATTTCATCTAGTTTTTTTATGCTTCAATCCCTTTTATTATTAAGTATTTCACATCTCACAATTGCACACTATAAAAAGTCTGGCAATAATTTTGATTTACAAAATGCTACTTTAATTAAAAGAGAAAACAATTCACCAAGATGAAAGTGTATAGAAAGTGCTTTAATCACTAAATCATCCACAGTAAATTTGCATCCAGGATTTTACATTTCACTTTTCTTGGTAGATCTTTCATTATCTCAATGCGGGATATTTAATAACAAAAGTGATGGAAACATGAACAAAAGAATAAAGAAACTAAATGAAATTGGCTAGACTGCAGAGTGCGATGGGTAATTTGTTGCTATTTTATATTTTTAATTTTTGTGTTGTTTGTTTTTGATTTTGTCAACAACACAGTATAGTAAAATCAGTTGAGCATTGTTACGAGGCCCCATTTTGTCCTACTTCTTTACACTTACACTATAAAATACAAAACTTAAATTGATGACTTAAATCTGTAGCTACTAGATGCCCTTTTTACCTTAGGAAAAGCTCCCATTCACCAAAACCTTTAGATTTCATAATAATAGAATGGAACTTTCTAGAAGTCTCTAGAAACTTCTACTGGGTTCTAGAGGGTATAAAAACATATATAAACAGGAATTCATACCAACTAGCCAGTTTGCCTCCTGAACCCACAGCCACGACTACTGAGGTTGACTCAATCCCTTTTGATTCATGAACAAAGCTTTGACTGAAAGAATCTAAGTTCCGACAGTCCTCGAAAAGAAAAAACTATCGGTAAATACTTCACCTTTTATTCCTTGATATTATTGACCAAACTCCTTTATTTTATATACATGTGAATATCTAACTATTTTTCTAAGAAGAAAATAATATGATTCTTTGACTAGCAATGAATTCCCATCTGTCGCCTTAATCTTAACTGTATAAGGATTTCCTCTCCAACTCCCACATATAGCTATATGCTAAGCCAACTACTTTCTGGGCTCTCACATGCATATTAACTTGTTAGCATTTCCCAACATATATTGTTTAAACCTCAGCCTGGCTGTTTATAAAAAATGTTGTATTATATGTTAAATAAAACCCACTTTTCGTTATTACATGTAATCTTTTCTTTCAACTTTAATGTCTAAGAATCTGTTTCATTCTTATTTTGTGTTGTGCCAGCCATAACAAGCACCATCTGTGAGAAAAAGAGCACCATCATGCAATTCACTCCAGCAGGAATTTGTAAATAGCATGCTGTAGTGCTTGGCATTCGCACTGGAAACTCCAATACAAACATTTCAGAATGTTTGGGTGTCAATCCGAGGACAGTACGGAGGATTCAGAAAGAGTTGGATGATATATCCCGTAACATCATAGTGTTCGGAGTGAGCACTAGTGATGTTAACATTATGCCTGCATTCATCTTTCCACGAGACCTCAGACTCAACAAGGAGGCCTACATCAAGTACCTTGAGGAGGTAGTGCTGCCCTGGGTCAAGAGGGTGGCTGCTGAAAGACCCTATGTCTGTCAACAGGACTCTGCATCATGCCACACAAATAGGAGAACTCAGTCATGACTGTCAGACAATTTCTGTGACCACGTCACCCCTAATATCTGGCCACCTAACTCCCCAGACTGCAACGCCCTTGATTATTATGTTGGGGGGTGCAGTTGAGCGAAAGACCAACAAAACTCCTTGTAATACCAAAGATGAACTGAAGACAAGGATTATGGCAGCATTCACCAACTTGAACAAGGAGACCACCCAGAAGAGTTGCAAGAGATTCTGAAGTTATCTGGAGGTCGTGGTTGAAGCCAATGACGTTTTTATTGAATAAATTTACTCTTTAGCATTTAAAGATATTTTGGGGGCAATTTTGGTAAATATATCCTTTTAAAAGGAATTATTTTCATTTTTGCATAATTTAGACAACAATTTATCCATCACACCCTGTATATGTACAAAACACATATTTAAAAAAAAAAAAAAAAAAGAAAAGTTTTTTTAAATAAATTTAAAAGTTTAAAATTTCAGCATCTCTCACCATTCACATGAGTCAATGGGAACATCATTTTAGTCCAATGGGGTCCTAAATGACGAAATATGTCACAAGAAAAATTTTCCCCACTTTATCATTGATTTTCCCAACATTGTTCTGATATATAAAAATTTGTATATAATTTACTCCCACATATATGTAAATGGTTAATTCACATTTCAAATCAGAAAGCATAAACAATACCAAAGCATGTTGCTTCCATTGCTGAACTGTCCTCTTAATCGCAATGACAGTAAGTGACATTTTCCTTAGCTTTAGTCAGAGACGCTTTTTTCTCACAGTAATGAGCATTCAGAAAATAACAACTAAAGTCTTATAACGATCACTATGAGGTAATAAAGTGGGTTATAAAATTGTTTTTTTGCCTCAAAATAAAGAATTTGATATCTTCACAGTGTATTATATGACAAGGCAAAATTACCCCCCCACCTTCAACACTGACATTTCTGTTTGATAAAGATTGTTAAAACAACAATGAATAAGCCTTGTAACTTATTTCTCTTGCATATAAATTTTCCAATTCTATTATAAATTCATGGGTTTCAATCTGCGTGCTTTCTGAGTAAACATTTTAGCAAGCTATTCAGGTTTAATGAATATAAACCAACAATTCCTGTGGCTTGATGATTATTAAAATGACAGGAAAGTGGAAATTAAAGCACAGAATTGGCGCAATAAAATCATTATTTCAGCTCTTCTTAAAAGGTAAACGGAGAGATTATCTTTCCCTAGACGTGTTTAAACATCAAAAGTGACCAAATGAGATTGAAGAGGGGAACAGTAAAGATATTTTGTTTATTTAGAGAAGGCCGCCTTTTTGCAATCCAAATGTCTACTAAGAGAGTAATGGCCAGTTAGCATAACTTACAAGTCATCAAAAATGCCAAGGATGACAAAGCAATGACCTTCTACAAGAAATAAAGTTGGTCTCTCTATAGACATTAAATAAAGTGTCAAAAAAAAAAAAAAAAAAAAAAAAAAAATTTAAACTAAAAGCCAAAATGATTAAAGACTATGATTATCCCAATATTCTTAATATTGAGAATAGAAATCTTGAAATTTCAGGATTCTATTATTGTGAGCTTGGACAAGGAAACATTACTGGGTGAATTTCATAAATCAACCACATCATTTTCATGTTCGAAATCAAAAACAAATGTTTTAACATGTCTCTCTTAAAGTCTCAATTGATGGATGGATTTGTTTTCTATGGATTATCAAACCTTTGCAGGTTATTTAAAGCCAGAAAATATTTTTAGATTGTAAGAACTTTTTTTTGGAGGGGAGATAATGATTTATTGATACAAGTCACATAGTTGGGGGGAGGTGGGGGGGGCAATAAGATGTGGATTCCTGTCTTTTCCCGATGATATTTGCAAGCAAGTGAATATAACAAACCCAACTGAAATTGGAATTCGGCTGATTATCAATTCCGCACCTGCACATCCAAGCTTACAGCACCTGGTATTCCCAAGTGGTCACCCGTCTAGGTACTGGCCAAGATCAACATTGCTTAACTTCGGTGATCATACAGGAACCAGTGTTTCAACATGATATGGCTGTAAGCCCTTTATAAAGTCTTGTCTTTACAGAAGGTGGTGTATAGAATTCATTCAATTCAAGCAAAAATAATGGCCTTTTTTTCAACATTAACTTCATTGAACAGCATATCTATCAGTTTCTTCTGTTGTTTTTCAGCTGATTTTATAATTTCATTTTCACAGATTGTTCTATTTGTTTTTTTATGGCATGTCAGGACATTGTGGGTAAGATTTAGGTTTATTTTGTTTTATGGCATATCGACACCTCAATGGGTTATTTAATGCCAACAAGATTTTTACAATAGTTTTGTATGAATTGAATATGTATTCTTTGTAAGAAATTTGGGGATCAGGTTTCATTGACGGATTTTTGTAAAGAGGGTTTTTTGTCGAAAGATTGGTTGCATTGATGTACTTTTCCGATATACAGTTTGTAGATAAATTGATTTTATTCACCTTCTCATTTGGATTATAATTTTTGATATAGGTCCACTGTGTTAAGAAATAATATCATGTCATCCTCTTTTGCTTTTACGAAGAGCTCATGCATGTTTATATTATAACATTTTTGTCTTCAAAAAGTAAAGTCTGAACACTCGGTTTAATAGTGTGTTTCCTGGCATGCTGGTTTGGTTCGTTTTATGGCATATCGACCTCAATGGGTCATTTAATGCCGATAACTTTTTTTCCAGGTAATATTTTTGTTTTGTCAAAAATATTTCTGGTAATATTATTTTAAAAAATGTATTGCTGGTAATATTTTTTTTTTCAAAAACCTATTGCGAGTAATAGTTTTTTTTTTCTTCAAAAATTTATTTCTGGTAATAATTTTTTTACTAAGTATTTCTGGTATTAAAACCTATTTTTACACTTTTATAATGCTTTTTACCTCAGTTTCAGGGTTAACTATTTACCCATAGCTGGGACCCTAACAGGTGCTACCACACCAGGTTAGGGTGGACCTGGGAACACCAAAAATTAAGAGTTGGTTCCACGCTCCTCAAAACCTCTTGATCAGAGGATTGCTGTTGGACATAGTTTACTGTCTTACACAAGACACAGATGTAGTTTATCATCATACCTAGGATGCCCACTGTGGGTAAGTTAAAGCTAAAACATATTTTGGATATAAAAATAATTCTTTTTTTTTTTGTGAGCGAGTGGATATTGCATTAGCAATATTTTGGAGAATACCAATGATTTTTCCAGATACAAGTCCTACTATTTAACCTGTAACTGGGGGGAAAAGATGATTTCATAACTTTCCTAAGGGAATTTAGTGAATGCAACAAACCTGACTGGAATTGAAACTCAGCTCTCAAATTTTTTATTCTGGGCCTCTATCCATTATTACCCCACCCTCACATCTTCATGGAATGATTTTATCTTACTTGAAAAAGAATTGCCTACATGCTTTTTATAGACTTTCAGAGATTTAATTTGTCATTTTTCATTCAGAAAATGCTGTAAAAACTCCAACAAAGTTTAATGAAAAAAAATAGAATACCTGGTAAATATAGCAGACGTGTGAACACTTCCTAGTCAAGCAGTAACAATTTTTTTATTTTAATTTTATTCATCCAGTACAAGACCCAAGAGCCACTCAAGGTAGAGGGTTACTGAATGAAGTTTTTGAGTTTAGATAATGGATGACCCAAGACTTAAAGTGGTTAAGATAGCAGTCATCTGGGAAGCATCATCTTGGGAGTTTTTTCTTGGGGTAAAAGCTGTCTAAATGGGATTTTCTTATCAATAAAATACAAAAGGAATGAAGATTATTTGACCTATGTGGTAGGTGTAAATGTCTGATAAAACTAAAGAATCGTTAAAGAAACTGGTTTCAGCATTATCCTGATAGAATATTGTCTTTTCTCCTAATTCCTGGTACTTTTTCACAATGACTGCTTTTAGCTGCAGTAAATGAGAGCCATACTTGTTTGAAAGGAGATCATAGTAGAAGACTCCCTTACAATCCAGACATATACAGGGCAACATGAGTGAAGACAATTAATGTTTGTTTATTTAAGTTGCCCCAGGCTCACTTTTATTCCATATTGTTATAAAGTAACCACTTTTCAATGCCAGTAATAATTTGTGTTAAAATCAGAACATTTAACGCCATGCAACTGGTTTCTTCCATTGATGTGAAAATCAAACATCAAAGCAACTAACATAAACGATGTTGCAAATGATTTTCAGTACTTGATTTGAATATTTTCAGTATATTCGCTATCTTTAGTATCGTATATTTCATCACTCACAACTGGTCTGCTGACTGAAGCAAAAAAATGTCTAGCAGTAAATCTGGAAAATTTCTTGAGACATTCAACCATTCACAATAGCTTCATAAACAACAGTATTTATTTATTTTTTTTTTTTTGCATTCCAATTGAATTTTTACCTTTCTTAAAATAGAAATAGTCTAAAATGCCAAAAAGTTGTTTAGAAACAATAAATGAAAGGACAACTTTTTTTTTACATGTCTATATGACAATTACGACAATTAAAAGTGATCTTTTTAAATGAAATTAGTTTCAAATAAATAATGCTTTCTAACTCCAAATACAGAATGGCTAACCAAATATGAAGCTTCAATCTTTTCTGAGTTACCAAGCACATCTTAAAAACACAGGGCAATTTCTTGTCAAGGTCACAAAGCTGAAAGCTTCTAACAAGTGAAGAAAGCTAAAAATGTCCATAAACTTTTCAAAAAACACAATACTCACAGACCAAATAAATGATAATGTGAAAATTGTCACCAGACTTTAAAAACCCATCTCCCTTAAACAACCAATGACGGCAGAATTAGAACATTAACAAGGTCTGACAACGAGCAAAAAAAAAAAAAAAAAAAAAAAGTAACAAGGAGGGAATTTCAGAGAATGGAAGAGTTTACTTACCGAGGAGTAGGGGGAGTTCTGACCATTCTGTTGCCTCAGGAGTCGTTTCTCATAGTCTGGGTCCATCTTATTCCACGTGGCTCGGAGAGATTTTTTATTAACTGGTGACACCAACCAACCAACCAAAATTCTAATTACAAAAGGGCACAGAAATATCTATGCTGAAAAAAAAAAAAAAAAAAAATAGAAAAGATTTCAAGAAAAAAATATTCACAATTTACTTAAAAACTGGCAATTCAATGATATTTAATAAATACATCAGTTCTTCAGTAGAAATCAGGAGATCAATGGATCACGCTCACACACATAAAACATACAGGGTGCGATGGTTAAATTGTCGTCTAAATTACACAAAATTGAAAATAACACTGTCATGTCATTTTAACAGATATATTTGCCAAATTACACAGAAAAATATCTTGAAATGTTAAAGAGCAAATTTATTCAATAAAATCACCATTTTTCAGTAGACAAAAAGAAAATAAAAAAAATGTTGCACTTGTCTCAATTGTCCGACTGCAAATCCATATGCAGAAATTTCCTTGCATGTCAGGTTTTTGAGATACGTAAGGTGTGTGTGTGAGAATTCAGATCAAATATAGATCAATCCAACAGAATGATAGTATAAGGAACAAATAGGAAAATAAATTTCATGTTTTGCTTTTAGGCTTCATCAGAAAATTTAATATAGAGGAGAAAAGAAAATTCTGGTATTTTTATTTTTTGTGTTATTTGCTTTTTATTGGTTAAGCAGACCTCAAATGCATCTGTCCTGTCAAGCAGCATTCGTGTGTATAATTCATGCGTGTATGTATATCATAATTCTAGTTTGTCTGTGGGATTCAAATAATAATGTGCATTTGTTTTGTACATATCTAGTAGGTATTTTCATCTATGTTTGGTGGTTGTTCTTGTGGTGCAATTTAAGTGAATTAAATTGCAGGAGGGGGAAAGAAGAGAAGATGAAGTCTTTGCCTGTTTTCATATCCAACCTAGATGACGCATAGAATTTAAATTGTTACCCCTCCTCATTGATGCCCAGATTTTATAGCAAAGGGCAGATACCATTACTTGACAAGGGAGGTCACTGGAGATTACTTCACATCTCCCATTTTTTTTTTTTTTTTGAGAAAGTCCTTTCAGTATGAAAGTTTATCAGGAGGTCGAACCTTGCGGCCATATCTGGTGTAAATTGACAGGCTGGTGCCAATGGCAATCGTATTTTCAATTTCAGTTATTTAGGTTTCATGTTAATCCCTTGACAATTCAGCTGGACTAGATTTCTCAGAGTAACCGACACCAGAAACAGGTCTTGATTGACGCTGCAGTGTGGGTTGGTAAATTTTGTTGCTGATGGCTGTTCAGTCCTTTGCCTTAGGTGAAAGGTATTTCATCATTGAATTCCACTGTCTTAATTAGAATAGGCTTTGATGAAGCAGGTTTTACAATGACTGCTAGTGAAGTTTTTGGTGTTTTAACCCACAACAGGCTGTCCTTCCATTAGATTAGGATAAACCTTTGTTTGGTATCTTAGATCAAAATACATTTTTTTTTTTTTTTTGTCTAGCTTTAATATTGTTTCTTTTGAAATCTTTGTAAGATTTATGCTTAGACAAACCTTTGGAAAACAAACGGAATTGCTGGGATCTGAGTACATAGATTCCTATTCATTAACAATTCTGCCAGACTAAAACCATGTTTCAACGGAGGGAGTCCTGTAATTCACAAGTGCTATGTATAGATCACTTGCCTTTCTTAACAAGTTCTTCACCGTTTGACTTGCCCATTCAGCTTCTCCATTTCCTTATGGATAATGAAGGCGACTAGTGAAGTGTCTGTAATCATGAACTTTTGAGAAATTTAAAAATTCATTTCAGCCCAAATGAGAGCCATTATCAGATACTACTATCCCTGGGATACCTTGTCTAGCAAATATTGACAGAGGTGGTCTTGTCTGAGGGACGAGATTTCTATCCTTCTAGAAAAGTAGTCAACAATTAAAAGATACCGATGTTCCTTCAATTCATATAAATCCAAAGCAACTTTTTGCCATGAGTAGTCTGGTAACTTTGTGGGTTGCAGTGGCTCTGTCGGATAGCTTCTATCCTTTTCACATATAGCTCACCCTTCCACCTTCTTTGCTATTTGCTTTGATAGGCCCAGCCACCAGACTGCAAATGTTCAACACTTAACAATGCCTTGACGTCCTTCATGTAAACAGTCTAATACTTCGTTCTGTAATTCTGCTGGAACGATGAGTATAATCTGGTACAACAAAAATCCTTGTTTAACTGTCGGTGTAAAAACCAATATAATTCCAGTTCGGGATCTTTCCTAAATAACATTGGATAGTGGTCTACTTTACAAAACTTTTATGACCTGATTATAGATAATGTCTGCTAACTGCTTTACTCTAATTTCTTTCCAGAAACTGATTACTTATCGAAATATTAGCAATTACCAATTTTTTTTTTTTTTTTTTTTTTTTTTTTGAGCATTCAACCCCAAGCCACTAGCACGCAAGGGGTTACAGAGAGTTGGAGCGAGAACAAATAGGAGTGATAGAGGAAAGGATGAGGAGATGGTTAGGGGATAGATCTGGAGATGTCGATTGACGTTACATTTGAATAGTTGGAGATTATAGTTATCAGGAAAACAAGAAATGGGGAGGGAGTTCCACAGGTGAGAAGTGCGAGACATGAAGCTATTGGAGTAGAAGAGACAGCCTCATTTAACAGTTTTAAACAGTGAAAGGGTGAGAGTGAGATGCCAGCCTAGTTGAGCGCTTAAATGAGTCTGTTTCAGATATGGTCTGTCTATCCTGACTAGTTGAACTGCTAGTAGGAGCACAAGATAAAGTGTCAGATGTTACTAATTCTTTTCCTGGTATGTAAACCATATCATATCTTTTCTCAGTCATCATAAGAGATTTTGATGCATAAAACACTGATCTCCATTTCTTCTGTCACTTCTGCAGAAGAAACCGACCTAAACCATATGAAGATGAATCTACTGAGACCTTCGTTGGAATATTGGCATTGTAATGGGTTAGAAGTGGTACAGAGCTCAACAACTTTTTCAGAGTTTGGAATACAAATTCTTGTGGATCTTCCCAAGTGTTTTTTTTTTTTTTTCCTTCAGTAAATCTCTCAGAGGTTTAGTAACATCAGCTAAATTCTTAGCAAATTTTCCTACAACGTAGTCCTCGTAACTTGGAAACATCCTTTGGTTGAGATAAGTCTATTATTGCTTCGACTTTTCCTGGGTCACTTTGAAAGCCATCTTTCGTAATGATGTGTCCAATAAACTTTATGCTACTGACAGAAAAAATACATTTTTCATTTAACGGGACTCCTGCCGCTTTCATTTTTTTTTTAAAGAACTAGTCATAGTCAGCTGTTGGTTCTTTCCACTCACAAGGATGTCATCAATATTACATATAACTCTGGCTATACCTGCCACAATGTGAGTCATTTCACAGTGGATTATCTCCAGACCACTACTAATATTGAATGATAAACGTGTATAACAAAATCTTACAAATGGTGTTAAAAATGTTGTCAGTTCTGGTGAATCTTTGCAAAGTTTGACTTGACGAAAACCACTGTGGCAGTCTAATTTACTGAAAACTGGAGCTCCATCCAGCTCTGCCAATATTTGGTCGAGAGTAGAGAAAGGAAATTTTCTCTTTTTTTACACTTTCATTAAGTTTGGTAAAGTTGACAGTTGAATCTTTCATTTTTTTTTTTTTTTTTTTTTGAACACAGCAAATATTGTCAAGGAGTTGCTATAAACATTGGTTGTGCAAACTCTTTTAAACATATTTTATGTATATATTTGGGAGTCAACCAATGCCTGTGAAAAGTTCTGGAAATTCTTTTCTATATTTTTGGTCTTCCCTTTTTATAGAATTCACCCTCCTCAGCTTTTACTGCTAATGCCCTCAAATTTTCAATAACAAACAAATCCTGTTTAGACTCTGCTTTTGGAGCTTTTAAGAAAGGCTCCGGAGGCAAAGTGGAGTAATGGATAATTGCTTGGATTGGGAACCAAATTCAAATTCCAGTCAAATCCATTACATTCACTTACGTGCTAATACCCTTGGGAAAGGTATGAATCCTCTTCTCCCAGAAAAATGTTAGGAAAAATAAATGACAAAATGAAAAAAAATGAAATAGAACAGACCAGGTTCTATGGCAAATGACAAGATTAATTCCAAGGATTCCGATTCTGTGAGGAATCGGAGAGCCAAGTTCGAATTCCAGTCAAATCCATTACATTCACTTACATGCTAATACCCTTGGGAAAGGTATTAATCCTCTTCTTCTCCCCCCAGCTATGGGTAAATAGCAGGACAGACCAGGTTCTATAGCTATGGATGGTAACTGGTCTATCGTAGAAAGAAATGGCAACCTACTGCAAGAAAAAAATCTGCCTCGTCAGTCATGTATCAAAAGGTACATGATTGCCTATGCGTGTATCACGCATAGGCACATAGCTGATGGAATAAAGCCTCCACATGACTGATAACTTTTATCTTATGATAACCTGGTCCACACAGATGTTTGTTATATTTTTTGAATAAATGGGGAGTTTTTGGGTTTTTTTCTTAAAATACCTACTGGGACTACCATTATATCTACTCCAGTATCCAATTTGGAATGAATTACTTTACTACATAGCTTTGCAGTTAACTTCAGTTTGCCAGCCTTCTTCCGTGACCGTGTTAATTCTATCGTGAGTAGTAATAGACCCAAGCACATAATGTGGTTCTTCTTCATTTCTCGAATTTTACACCTGCCAGTCCCACATATTTTGGCATCATGTCCTTTTCTTCAACATTGTTCAGCAAATTGTATTTTTGGCTGGACAATCATTCTGAGAATATGAGATGGAATATTGCCACAGCGTATACATTTATTTGTACTTCTTTTATGGCCGACTGTATCTTGGGGCTTCTTTTTATATTTCTTTCGTGTTATTCTGCTAACATTTGCTTCTGTTGCATTTGTGCCTAAAGAAATACTTTGTTGCTTGGAAATTTCATAGGCTCTGCTTATGTCTAT